GCTATTCTTAGCGCGGCCTGGCCCCGGCCTGCCCGCTCCCGCCGCCGCCTCCCCGGCCCCAGCCGCGCCCCCGCCCCCGCCCCCGCCCCCGCCGCCCGCCTTGCCCGCCTTCCGGCCGAGAGCCCCTGCTCGGCGCGCCCCGGCCTCAGTTTACCTCTGGAGGCGGCGGCGGCGGCCAGCGCGTGCATGTAGGGGGCCTCCCAGCGCTCCATCACCGGCTTGCCCAGGATCTGCAGGTGCATGTCCGCCTCGTCGTAGGCCGCGGGCGCCGCCTGCCACGCGGGGCTGCAGTTCTCGCCGGGGGCGAAGATGGGGGGCGCGGCGGGGGCGCTCATGCTGCGGCTGCACGGGGCTGGCGAGCGCGGCCGGGCCCTGCGAGGCCTTCTGGGCCGGGGGCGGGTTGGGGCGGGGCGGGGCGGGGCGGGGCCGCGGGCGGGCGCAGGGCAGCGGGTGTCGGGCGAGCCCAGGGTCGGCGGGGCGGGGCGGGGCGGGGCGGGGCGGGGCCGCGGGCGGGCCCCCGTCTGCCGCCTAACGGGGAGCCAGCCCGAGGTACCGCCCTCCCGCAGCCGCCCGTCTGCTGTCGGGGCCACCGCTGTGGGGCTCCCGGGGCTCCCGAGCAGGAGAACCTGCAGGGCCGGACCCGCTGAGCGACCCCCGCGCTCCTGCAAATCCTGCGGGTTAGAAGCCCCGCACCCGGGGTGCGGATCACGCCGGGATCACGGGGAGCCCTGGAGGCCGCTGCCCACTCGGATCCTGAGCAAAAGTGATGGGGGCACCGGCTCTGCGCCTCCCCGGGTCTTTGGGGCCCCCAGAGACCAGGGACCCCCCACTGCCACCTACCTGCCGCGTGGGCTCCATCCCGAAGCTTAGCTACGGGCACAGTTCAGTCTGGCGGCGCCTTAGACAAACCGTGTCCGCGCCAGCTTCAGCTCGCCCTGACCCCTGCGCCCGCTGCGCCCGCTGCGCCCGCTGCGCCCGCTCAAGGTGGAGGGCGACCGGCCGTGCTCGCCCGCGGGTGGGCCCTCCGGGGGAGGCCCCACTGTGAGCCGTGACTGCCCGCGCTGCACAGCCTGCAGGCCTGGAATCGGGGCGGCGGGGACTTCCTCCGGGTGCGCGGCAAGTGGGTGGCACAGGGGGTACAAGGAGGGATGTGTCTGACCCCACAGCACAGTTTTAAAAGATCCTATGGGGATCCCTGGGTGGCGCAGCGGTTTGGCGCCTGCCTTTGGCCCAGGGCGCGATCCTGGAGACCCGGGATCGAGTCCCACGTCGGGCTCCCGGTGCATGGAGCCTGCTCCTCCCTCTGCCTATGTCTCTGCCTCTCTCTCTCTCTCTCTGACTATCATAAATAAATAAAAAATTAAAAAAAATTAAAAAAGATCCTATGTATGTATATATATAAAGTACAAATATGCAATTTGATTAGAAAGGTGATACATTTGATCAAAACTTTCAGATCTTACAGAATTGGCATCAGCCTGCAGATCACTCCTCCTGCTGTTGTTTTAGTACAGTTTACAGTGGTTTTACATTTTTATTTCTTTGAATTTATTTATTGAGAGAGAGAGAGAGAGAGAGAGAGAGAGAGACACAGGCTCCATGCCGGGAGCCTGACGCGGGACTCGATCCTGGGTCTCCAGGATCAGACCCCGGCTGCAGGTGGCGCTAAACCGCTGCGCCACCAGGGGTGCCCTACATTTTTATTTTTTAAGATTTTACTTATTCATGAGAGAGAGAGAGAGAGGCAGAGACACAGGCAGACGGAGAAGCAGGCTCACGCAGAGAGCCCGATGTGGGACTTGATTCCGGGGCCAAAGGCAGGCGCTAAACCACAGAGCCACCCGGGGATCCCCTACATTTTTAAATAGTTGAAAAACCAAAAAAACAAAATACAATTTTATGATACATGAAAATTACATGACATTCACTTTTGCGTGTGGGTAAAAGGAGCCTGTTCTCTGGCTGCTGCCAGGAGGGCCTCCCCGCTTTCACTTGTTAACATCAGGACTTTGGTGCTTTCTGGCTAGAATAGTACAGGTGAGTCATCACTATGAAACCTTATGGCCAACAAAACCGAAAATTTACACTAGTTAGCTCTGTACACAAAAAGGTTTGCCAGGGATCCCTGGGGGGCGCAGCGGTTTGGCACCTGCCTTTGGCCCACGGCGCGATCCTGGAGACCCGGGATCGAATCCCACGTCGGGCTCCCGGTGCATGGAGCCTGCTTATCCCTCTATGTCTCTGCCTCTCTCTCTCTCTCTCTCTGTGTGTGTGTGACTATCATAAAAAAAAAAAAAAGGTTTGCCAGCCCCGTTGTAGAGCAATGGGTCATGGGAGGTGACATTCATTCTTCCATCACACATATATGAAGTACTTGACTTTGGGGGGTTCCATCCTGACTCCCCTGGAGCTCATAGCCTCCTGGGTGGGAGAGATGAACAAGAATAAGTGATAAGTGGGGCACCTGCTGGCTCAGTCTGTGGAATCATGAGATCTCAGGATCATGAGTTTAAGCACCAGACTGGGGACGGAGCCTGCTTTAAAAAATGAAGTTTATTTTATTTCTGTTTATTTATTCATAAGAGACACAGAGAGCAGCAGAGACATGGGCAGAGGGAGGAGCAGGCTCCCTGCGGGGAGCCCGATGTGGGGCTCTATCCTACGACCCCGGGGTCACGCACTGAGCCAGAGGCAGATGCTCAACCACTGAGCCCCCCAGGTGCCCCGAGATGGAAGGTTCTGCACACGGATTGTGGGGGGGGGGTGCACAGCGGGGTGAGTAGGCTCCAGGCTGCCATGCTGTGCGCCTAGAAGCCGCGACTATGCTAAAGTCCACGTGTATCTTACAATAAAAAAGAGGCCAAACCCATACTTTGTGCATCGGGTATGCTCATCTCCAGGTTAGGAGTCCATTCACAAGTGTCCACATACCCTCTTGTCACAGCAGTTGCTCTGGGGCGGGAGGTTGGAAATTAGGAAGGAGAGAATCTCAACTGCCTGCTTTAACTTTTTAAACAGGTAAGTAGTAAATGTAACAAAACGCCAGGAAATGTGTGTTCCAGTGGCAGGTACAAGACTTATCTTATGAAAAAAAAAAAAAAATGGGATCCCTGGGTGGCCCAGCGGTTTGGCGCCTGCCTTTGGCCCAGGGCGCGATCCTGGAGACCCGGGATCGAATCCCACGTCGGGCTCCCGGTGCATGGAGCCTGCTTCTCCCTCTGCCTGTGTCTCTGCCTCTCTCTCTCTCTCTCTCTGTGACTATCATAAAAAAAAAAGAAAAAGAATCTCCATACCATAAAAAAAAAAAAAAGACTTATCTTATGGAGGTGGGGGTGTCTGTATTTTTAACGTATCTCGCAGTGCAGGCGGGACGCCCAACGTGGAGCTTGAACTCACAGCCCTGACCTCAAGAGTCGCATGATGTGACCCGGCCAGCCGGGCGCCCCAGGGCCATTATTTTTTTTTTTTAAATCTATTATTTTAAACCGTTTGTGTCCGACTTCCTCCGTTTGACCACATCCTGCGGGCTTCATTCGGTGCTTCGTGGCTTATTTTTCAGATGCCAATGGCCGGGCGTGTGGGTCGTGTCACATCCCCCGCGACCCGGGCCCGCGTGCGACGGGGGGTGCTGAGCTCCGCGCCACCTGCCGCCACCCCTGCTCCCCGCGCGGGTGTTTTCACTGCGCCACGTCGCGCCGCCCGTCCGCCCAGGTCGGCTGTCGCTGTCGCTGTCGCTGTCGCTGTCGCGGACGCCCGCCCGCTAGGACCTGGGGTTTGTCTGGCGCCGTGTGCCCGCGACCTGGGTCCTCCGCACCTTCCGGCCCCTCGATTTGGCGGCGCCTCCCGGGAGTCGCCGCCGCCGCCGCCCCGCGCGACCAACCCCACGGGCCCCGCCGCCCCGCGTGACCCTGCGCGGGGCGTGGCCTCCGCCCACCGTTGACCCCGCGCGCCACTTCCGACCTGAGCCCAAACAAGGAAGCCCGGCCGCGCCTGCGCCCCGCGGTGCCTAGCTCGGAGGGCCCGAGCGCGAGCGCGCACGCACGCACGCACGCACGCACGCACGTGGTCCAGCCCCGCGCGCTCCTCTCCCCAGGCAGGGCCGGCGCCCGGGACTCCACTTCCCAGCGCGCTCTGCGGCGCCGCCGGTAGCTGCGGAGGAGCAAGGCCGGGGCCGCCGCCCGCAGGCACGCACGCAGGCACGCACGCAGGCACGCACGCAGGCGCGCACGCAGGCACGCAGGCCGGCGGGCGCACCCCTGGCCCCGCCCCCGGAGGCCCCGTGCGGGAGCGCGCCCGGGCGTGCGCAGGGCGGCGGCGCGGGCGCGGGGGCGCGCGGTGACCGTTGGCGCTGAGGGGAGGAGGCAGCGCGGCCGCCGCCGTTGCGCAGATCCGGGCCGCGGCTGTGCGGAGGGCGCCGGGGCCGGTGACCTTCCGGAGGCGGGAGCGAGCCAGGGGGCCCGGGACGCCGAGCGCCGCCGCCATGAACAACTCGGGCGCCGACGAGATCGGGTGAGGACGCGCCGGCCTGCGCCGCCGCCGCCCAGACGCCGCCCCGGCCCCGTCAAGGTCACGCCGGCGGGCGGCGCTCGGGCCGGGCCCGGGGTCGCGGGCGGGGGGCGGGGGGCGGGAGTGCGCGTCCCGCCGCTTCCGGGCCGGGCGGCCGAGGGGGGCGGGGGCGGGGGCCCGGCGGGGGGGGGGGGTCCGGGGGGCTCCGCCGCCGCCGCGCCCGGGAGCCGCGAGCCTGGGGTCCGCGGCGCGCAGCCGCCCGCGCCCGGGTGTGTGCGGGGTCCCCGCGCGGGCCTGCTGCCGCCTGGGCGCCGGGGCTCCCGCGGGGGGGGGCGGCTTCCCGGGGCTCCCCGGCCCGCGCAGCAACTTGGCGGGCGGCGCACGTGGCCCCGGGACGCCGGAGTGCGGCCGCGCAACTTGTTCCGGCGGCGGCGGCGGCGGCGGCCCGGCTCCCGCTCGGCCCCCCCCCCCCCGAGGCGCGGGGACCGCGGAGGCTCGCGGACCGAGGCCCGCGGGCAGGTCACGTGGGGCGCCCGGGTCGGGCCCGCACCGCCGGCCGGGGCCTGCCGCGGAGCGCGCCCGGAGGCTCCCCGAGGACGGAGAAGGCAGGCCGCTTCCCCCGCTCTCTCCTCGACCGGCCATTAGGAGGCGGGTCGGCGTCGAGTTCTCCTCCTTAATTATAGCCTCGTTGCACGCGGAGGGAGCCCCGGACCGAGCCAGCGATCCCGGAGGAGCCGGGCAGCCCGTCTCTGCCCTAGTTGAGGGCTCTGGTCCAGTTTTCGTTGCAGAGAGCGGCCCCGCGCCCTCAGGGTGGCGTTCAGGGTTGGCCTTTTCTGCGCAGCGCGGGGCTGGGGGGTCCCGTGGCCTTGTGCATCCTTGTCAGTGCCTTGAGCCTTGCAGGGACGCCCTGTGTCTGCTGAAGCGCCTGCTTTGGTAAGTCATTGTTTGCGGGGATGACTGGCCTCTCCCCGGCCTCCCGCTCCACCTGTGGACACAGGATGCGTTGTGTGGGCTCTGGGTCCCCACGGCGCACCCCGGCCGCGACTGGGAGGAGGACGACCCGTCGCTCCCAGCCGGGTTTGCTCTGCAGAGCGTGCCCAGCACTGGCAGGCGGCGTGTTCTTTGTGTTAGGCAGCTGAAAAGTTGCAGCACTTCTGACGGGAAACCGGGGTGTAGGAAGAGAGTGCTCCAGAAGCGGGGCCGGGCCCGCCCCATCCATCCCCATCCCCATCCCCCATCCCCGGGCTGCCGTCCTGCCTTGCCCCGCCAAGGGGCAGGGGTCTTCAGGCCTGGGCAAGGAGAGCAGACAAAGGTCGGGAGGGAAGGGCGCCTGGAGGCCCCTGAGGTGTGCTGCGGGGATCTGAGCCTGGTCTGCGGTGCCAGCTCGGGGGTGCCGTGGAGCCAGTAGGAGGACTGGGCTTAGCCACCCTGGCTGGCCACGGTCCCCTCCCCGCTCTTGCCGATCCACGCGGATCACCTGAGTTTTAAACTTGTAAATGACAGGTGTCCCTCCCAGAAACCTTTCATTGCTTTGTGGGTAGGAATCTGGTGCTAAAAATATTGACCAATTTCCGTTTTAGATAGGATCCTTGTTTCTGTTATTAGCGTGGGAGTCCAGGGCCCACTGGCTGTCCTCGTACAGATGGTTGACTCCGCTGGGCTCCCGGTCAAAGGGCCCTCTTGCAGTTTGCTGTGATCGGACCGCAGTTGCCTACTTTGGGGTGGTTACCACGTGGGAGTTTGTGCTGTGCTCAGATCCAGGTGCAGGCAGATGTTAGGATGCGGCCGGTCTGAATGATCTCTGATGACACGCATCTTCATCTTCAGTCTCCTTTGCTTGGGGCTCTGGTCTTTGGTCAGCTTGGTCCAAGTAGCTCCCCAGGGAGGGCTTGACAGGCGAGAAGGGCTGCTCCCCTATACCTAACAGGAAACTGCATGTATGGGTACAAGAGGTAAGGCCTCAGGAAGCGTGTGGATGCGTGGGGCCCGATCCAGTGCACGTATCTGCTTCTGAGTTGGGAGTTTTCAAAGGAAGAGCTTCACCAAGTGTTGGCTGTACCCGAGCCAGCCCAGAGGTCCCCTTGAGGTCTGGCGGGAGGGGAAGGTGGCTGAGACCAGTGGTTTTAGTTAGTGTTTTCATAGTCCTGATTGTCCCAATCAGCCAGAGCAGACGGAGGGTTGGGTCTTGAGAGCAGAGGGATGATAGGAGCGGCAGTGCCACGTGTGGCCCCACGTAGCAGATGTGTGATGGGCTGATATGCTCCCTTCAGAGCCAGCAACGAGGGGGACAGGCGCTCGCTTTGCTGAGGGCAGCGTCCTCTTTTCCTAACATAACATGAGAAAGTTGACTTCAAGAAGGGTCTCTGGATTCCGACTTGGAGCTGGTGCCAGCACGAGCCTTACAGAGATCCAGACCCCCCGGGCTCCTAGGCCTCTGAGGGCACCTGGCATCTTGTCAGTGCTCACAAGTGCTGGAGGAGGGCTGGTTCCCTTTAGGACAGAGGCGTTTTGTTCCACCCACCTCTGGGGCAGCCGGCTTGTGTTGTGGAACTGGAGAAAGGTCTGAGGAAGATATCATCTGGCACATGTTCTACTGGGAAGGCAGGGCCAACTGGACACCCTCCAGGGGAGAGTCCTGGGGAGAGGAGGAACTCCGCGGAGACAAGGTGAAGCAGCTTTCAGGTCACTCTGAGAGGAGGTGCAGGGAGGCGGCAGGAGTCCAAGGCTGCCGGAGCCCGAAGCACGGGAGGCAGGTGACCCCACCTATCCCAGCAGCCCCGCAGCCCCCCAAGTGCCGACAGGGCGAGGCCAGAGGCCTGGGCCTGGAGGAGTGGACACTCGTTAAATGCCTGTCTTCACTGAGCGGCCAGGAGCCGGGAGGTCCTGACTGTTTGGTTCAGAGAGGTCCTGGTTGGGGAAGAGGCCATTTTTTGCAGGGTAGACAGTGGTGAACTCTGGCGGTAGAAGGTAGAGATGCTTCTCTTTTGTGTTTTGGAGGTGTTTGGGGGCAGTCTCCCCAGCAGTGCTGACACTTGGGGGAGTCCTGGGCCCTGTGGGGGCTGAGCAGCATTTCTGGTCCCCATCCACTTGGTGCCAGGACCACCCCCAGTTGTGAAAATCACAGATGTCCCCGGATATTGCCCAGTACCCTCTGGGGCTAGGACCACCCCAGATGAGACACCTGTTTGGGAACATCTCCTCTTTTCGGCCTGCTTCCCAAGGTGTGTGTCCCTGCCACTTGCACCCATGGTTTAGGATTTGTTTGCTGTAGCGGGAGCTAGTTTGACAACTGTGAAGTTGACCATGGTGCTGGGAGGCACGCTGGTTGACTTCCTTCTGTTCTCAGCGTTGGCAGCGGGTCGAGCACCTGGACCAGGTGATGTGCCCTCCCCACTTGAGGAAACTCACCCCGGGGTAGCTCACTGCTGATACCCGTCCTAGAGCACCTGCTGGGAGCTGGGCTGGAACTTCATGCCCCAAGTTAAACCCTTCTCTCTGCAGGACAGACTGAGGCTTAGCAGGTCAGGAGACTTGCCCAAGGTCACCCCTAGGAGGAGCCAGAGCTGAGAGTCCCGTGCCCCTGGTGAGCCAGAACAGTCCTGGTAGGGAATGGCAGGGATGAGGGCCAGGCCCAAACGTGTACATTCCACCACCTTTGAGAAGGGTCCTGTCTTCACGGGGTGACTGTAGCGTGGCACGGTGTCCCTCTCTGAGCTATGAGTAATGTCTTCAGCCGGCGGTCAGCTGTTTGATTGAGGCTCTTGCCTGCTCCTAGGGAGTGGTGGGGGACAGGGGTCCTGTCTGGGGGCGGGCTGGTGGAGGAGCTCACGGTAGGAGGCTTTGGGTGTCGGGAGTTAACGTCAGGCACTGGGACATCCTGGGGTTCTCTTCTGCCTGTGTCGGTCGACCCCTGTAGTGGTCTGGCCAGAGCGAAGCCTGAGCTGCCAGAGGGCAGGGTCCACACAGGCGGCAGCTGCCTCCCGGGATCTTGTGCGTGCTGCCGTGTAAGGGCCCTGAAGCGGGCTGGCTCCCTGGCTCCTGGGGCTGCTTCCTTCCCTGCAGGGAAATGAAGACCTGCTTAGGAAGACAAGGTCCCCGGGTGACCTCCCTGGAGGGGCAGGAAGGGGCAAACAGAGGCTCTGCATTGTGTGTTCTTTAAACAGAAAGGGCCGTTTGCTGAACAAACGTGATTGGTCCCAGGCCCTTTGTTCCTTGCCCTCCAGAGCCAAGCTCTGCCCCGCTGTGTCCGCACTGGTGGCCACCTCACCAGGCGAGCCTGCAGTGCTTGGCCTGGGCCAGGGGAAGCCACTGGAGGTTTATTTTCTGGCATGAATACCTTGTGGCTGCCCTAAAGTACACAGAGCAAGAGCGGCGCAGTCCTCCAGTGCAGGTTTCAATCTCAGCAGGTGGGGGAGGGGGAGCGTTACCCAGAGCTTGGTGTCCAGGTCACTTCTGCAGATTCCCTTACCGAGGGGAGGTCACCAGCACCTGGTGTTGAGGTGCAGGTCCTGGGAGCCACCTCTCCTGGGCCCCCCTGGTCGTGGTAACACCTGTTCCCCCTCAGGAACCTGACTCTGGTTCACCTGGGAGGGCCTGATGGAGCCAGGAGGTCCCCCTCGATGGCTTGTGGGGTTCAGGGACTGGGGGGGGGGGGCTGACTCAGCTTTAGCTGAGTCATGAGTCCTGCACCCGTAAGAGCAGAGAAAGGCTGGAGAAGGAAACACAAAGTCAGCTGTCCCCTTAATCTGCGAAGTCCCGTATGAGAGCACCCATCAGTGCCCAGTGAGTGTGTCTGGCCGCCCCTGGGCAGCTGGCAGGGCGAGCAGCCCCACACTGTGCCAGGCATGCACATACGTCTGTGTTTACTAGTGATAGTTGTGCTGCCTGGGCAGCTCTTGAGCTGTTTCTGGCCAGTCCTGCTTACGGCCCTGTAGTCTCTGGGGCTCAGAGGTTGGGGCTTTGCCCTGGGGTCTGGGCGGGGGGACCTCCTAGGACCTTCGGAACCTTTTGGCTCCTTCTGTGGGTGGACCGGGGAAGGTATGCCGTTGGCGCAGGAGGAGAGGACATGCAGACAGGTAAACCTGCTCACGAGGCACTGCCTAGAGAGGCTCACGGGACTGCCCGGAGGCTGGGGCTCTCCTCCCCGAGGAACGGGTGTGGCCCACGAAGGTGTCCCTTGCTGTGCATCTCTGCCGGGGAAGCAGATCCTGGCATTTCTTCTTAATGAAAACCTCTCGTAGCCTAGGACCACAGGGCGACAGACTCGTGGAACGTGGCGAAGTAGTAACCAGAGTTCCTAGATACTATCTCAGCCAGCCTCACCAGCGCTGACGTCTGGCCCCGTCTGTGTGTGCCCCCTCCCCTACGCCATGTGTGGCTCGTGGGAAGTATCGACCAGTGAGCGGGAGCCCCACGACCCTTTGTGTGGATGCTTGCGCGTGTTCTGGTTTCCAAGAAGAACATTCTCTGCAATCAGTGCAGCACAACGATAAAACGAGGGCAGAGCGTTGATACCCTTTCACCCCCCAACCCATGGGGCAGGATCGGGGCTGTCCGTTGTGTGGATGATGGTGTTTCTGGTCTTTTCTCCTTAATGCCAGATTTTGAAATTTAAATGAGTGCTGGAACCTGGACTGGTCAGACGAGTTCCTTCCTCCGTAGGTGGGTGGGTGTGGAGGATCGCGGAGGATCGGGTTGCTTGGAAGCATACCTGTTTGCGACCTTACTGTTTTGGTTGGATGCACACTAGATAGAGGCTCGTATCTGTCTCCGTGAATTAGGTCTTGTTTTTTGAGAACGCTGGAGATCTCTCTTTCTTGCATGAATTTGCTTTTCCACAGCAAAGCCTTGTTCATTCCCGTGTCGAAGGAGTGGGCAAACACGCAGCTCCTCTGCGGTGCCAGCCGGCCTTGGGGCCTTCGGTCATCTGCCGCTCTGTGCCCCTACTGGGTGCCAGGCCCCGTGAGGGCAGGGCGGGGCCTGAGTCCGCTGGCTCCAGGCAGCGCCCTAGGTGGCCGAGGAGCCCCAGTCCTCTGGGATTGTCTGGGGGCAGGAGGAAGCCTGGCCTGATTCTGAAAGGGGTGCGTAGGAGACAACGAATTCAAGTTAATGAGGCCTAAAAGTAAGCCTGCCTTGCTGCTTGATCAGCGTGTTCATGAGACTTGTCCTCACAGAGCTCCCTTCTGCGGAGCTGTAAGCGCGGCCTCCGCCAGATGCGCCGGGCCGGCCCGTGCACGGGGGCCCGTCCGTGGGGGCCTGGCGGCGGCCGCTCACAGGATGGCAGTGGGTACCTGTGGGGGGCGATTGTTTCTCACGCGCTACATTCACATCGCCCCTCCTCAGAGGAAAGGCTGGGGTGGGAACAAGCCCCTGACAGTCCTGGGGCCCGTTTTGTCAGGGGCTGGCTCGCGGGAGCTTGAGTCCCTGGATGGAGCAGGGGTGACAGGTGCGCTGGCTGCCTCTAAGGGGTCTGTCCCCGGGTGGAGGACAGGGCACCCCGTCTGGCAGTTCTCTTGGTTGCTCGGCGGGATTGCCATCAGCCTCGTGGGGGTCTTGTCTTCGAGCTGAGCATGGTGTGGTCGGCTGCAGGCAGGGGGACTGCGGGACCCTCAGTCTCCGATGGGGACTGAGCCTTGGCCACGTATTGGCATCTGAAGACCTCTACGAGTGATGGTGGCCCTGTCCCCTCTCCCCGGGGAGGCGGGCGGGACTGAGCGCTGCCACTGCTGCAGCTAAAGCCTCTTTCCTGCCTTCTCTGCCATCCCCACTTCCCGGTTGGGGGAGGCCTCCGTGATGGCTGAGGAGCCCGGTACGTCTGGTACGTCGGAGATGCGAGGGAGCTTGGCCCGTAAGGCTGGGAGAGCCCGCCCCCGCGGGCCGGTCTGCGGACCTGCCCCTGTGCCGTGCCTCAGTGCGCTCCAGGCCTCGCCAGCCCAGGGGCGGCAGGAAAGGTGGGCCCCGCCCTGCGGCCTGTTGGTGGGGAGCCCCTCCCCGGGGGCAGGGGGAAGTAGGAGGGCCCACGGTGCTCGAACCATCCTAGGGGTGTGCGGAAGAGAGGCGGGTCGGCCCCGAGGGCACCAGTGGGGCCCCTTCACATTCTAGTGTGTCTGCCCGGAAGGCCGCCCAGGCTGCCCTGAGGTGGGAGATGTGGACGGGGCTCCACTTACTCGTGACCACGTGACCACGTGGAAGATACCCGAGGCTCTGTCCTAGGGCCCCCTGCCCCCCCCATTGTTCTGGTTTGCTGCATGTGCTCTCAGACGTTGCGGCTAAGTCCCCAAGTATTTGCAAGAGCGCTGAGGAAGTGTGCGCCACGGCTCCACCCCAAAGCCCCTGGGGTTCGAGGGCTCGTCGGTCCTTTCTCAGGGTCTCACTGTCAGGCTCGGCAAGCACGTGTGGGTGGCTCTGGACGTGTCGTCTTCACTTCCGCGTTGTAACACTCTCCCCACCATCTTGGCAAGTCTCGGTGTCGATTTTTGTGTCTGTAGCTGTCGAGGCGGGCACTGGCTGAGGGGGACATGTGTCATTGCTGTGACCTCGACGCGAGTCCGCATGTCTGCACCAGCTTCTTGTGGGCTCCCGCCTGAGGATGGGGCGGATGGCTGGCATCTTTAAGGCAAGAACTGTCTTGACCCTAAATATTTTCTTGTTGAATTGCAGGAAGCTCTTCGTGGGCGGTCTTGACTGGAGCACGACCCAAGGTAGGTGGTGGGGACCGGCCTGCGTGCCAGGAGCTGCAGGCAGGCCTGTGACCTTGGTCTTCAAGTTGTGTGGATTCATCTCTTGTTATTGCCTTGGGTTTTTTGTTTGTTTTCTTTAATTTTTGATTTACTTATTGGTTTTGAATTCTGGGGGTTGAGGGGTGCTTGACTGGGAGTTGTCTTGGGGTCTCACCAGAGTTAGGGGAGGGATGTAGGCAGGAGACTGTTGGGCTGTGGAGCGTGGAGGCTTGCTGGTGCAGTCACTGAACTCGGCCTCCAGCAGGAAGAAGCTGGTGGTAGCTGGCGTTCCCAGAGGTCACCTTGCATTCCCTCAGACTTCTTTTCGGAACGCTTTTGGCCGCTGCCATTGTCACTTGCACCCTTTCTAATTCATGTGAAGACATAATGTGTCTGTGTCTGGAATTCCCTGTCCTGCCCCAGGGGTCTCCCTCATGTCCCTGACCATCTTCCGTCCCCCACCCCCGCCCGGTCAGTTGATTAGCCAGTTTAAAGGTTGCTGGTTCCACAATTTCCAGGTCATGCTGAAGGACTAGGAGCATGTGTGCCTGTGTGCTTTACACACCAGCTGTGTACAGTGCTTTAACACGCCGGTGTGTGTGTTTGTGTTCTTGTCCCAATCTCTGAGCAGAGACTCTACGCAGCTACTTTTCCCAGTATGGAGAAGTCGTAGACTGTGTGATCATGAAAGATAAAACCACCAACCAGTCTCGAGGCTTTGGGTTTGTCAAATTTAAAGACCCAAATTGTGTGGGGACGGTGCTGGCCAGCAGACCACACACACTAGACGGCCGAAACGTGAGTGTCCTTCCCTGGAGTCCACTTCCTCCTGTCCCTCTTGTCCCTCCTGTCCCTGCCACTTGTTGCTTCTTCAGGTTGCCACTGCTGCTGGTCCTTGACGGATGTTCATGTTAGGGAACGTTTTAGGGGGTTGACATTAAGGGTTGCAGCTCTGGACTTAGGCTGGATGTTGGAGTAGAGCATGGATTTGGGGTGTACTGTGTTGGGGTCATGTGCTTGTTTGCTGTGCTGACACCTTTTCTAGGGAAAATAGTTTCATATTCACAACAGACTCATTTGAAACTTCTGCAGATCGACCCAAAGCCATGCACACCTCGAGGGATGCAACCAGAGAGGACACGGCCGAAGGAAGGATGGGTAAGGGGCTGGGCTGGGTGGGGCTGCCTCTCCACGTGTGCCACAGCCACAGCAGGAAGGAAGTATGTGCCTTTGATCTGATGGTTTTGTTCATCACCGTTCAGAGTAACAGAGGTCTTCTGGTTTGGTGTTTGAGCTGCTGGGGATCGCTCAGACTTAACCAGTGGTATCTGTTTTTTACGTTTTAGCCAAGAGTATTCATGTTAGTCTACCTTGAAAAGAAGGAAAAGATCTTGCACACCTGTTTGTGATCAGGAGTTCCATTTTCTCCTCACCAGAGGCTGCCAGCCTGCCCAAGGGGAGCCCGGTGTCCTAGCACCCTCTGCCCCTGCTCCCCCAACATTGCTGCTTGCTGGCCACTCCTTTCCAGGTGCTGCAGCTCATAGGCAGGGGCCCCCTTGGCTATGTCTGAGAGCCCAGTTGCTGCTTGTTCAAACTACTGGTTCAGAATACACCAGTGTGGTGGCTCTTCAGGGATTCTCTGTGAGCTGTGTGTGTCCCCTATTGCTTGGCCAGTTGGAGCAAACCCGTCCTCTGTCCACTATAACCCATCCCTCCCCTTCCCCAACACAGAAGGTCTCCGAGAAGACCATTATCCAGTATGCATTTGTCCTAGCAGAAGGGCCTGGTCAGAGCTGGGCTGGAGGTAGGCCAGATGTCCGATTGGCGTATCTGAACCCGGGCCTGAGAACCTGCATTTCTAGGAGGGTCCATTTGCTTCTGGTTGACCGCTGCTTCAGACCTTTAATACAGTTTTTATTTTCCCAGTTTCCTATTGGGAACTTTTGGGGGAACTTTACAGAAAAATCAGAAGAGCAGTACATCAAAAACCTAAACGCATGGCTTAGATTCGTCGATTGTTAATGTTTTCTTAGTTACATATATCCCTTCTCTGTATCTATCACTCCTAAATTCTGGAGCACGCATCTCCTAAACACATGTCCTCCCACATACCCACCCCTGGCGGAAGTGTCGGCAGTGGCTCCCAGCACCACCTGTGTCCAGACTGGTGCACTTGTAGCTCTGGGGTCATTTCACAGGTGGCTTTCGTAGCCCTTCTCTTCAGACTGGAATCCCAGCCACACTGACGTTCCATGTGGTTGCTCACGTCCTTTAGTCTCTTAGCAGTGTTACTGAGGTGGCACAGGCATGTAGAGTAACCTGCACCTCTTGGTGGAGTTTGACCCCTGTGTGTACCTGTGAGACCCTCGCCTGCCCCCAGAGTTCAGGGGCATCGGTCCGGAGCAGTTGGGATGATGTAGCTGCGGAGCCCCTTGGACAGGAAGGACAAGGTGTGGGGAGGAGGCAGCGTCCCAGGAGCAGGAGCCGAGGTGCTGGTCTTCCGTCTCCCTCTGGCGAACGTTTTCCCCCAAGCGGTGCGACCCTCCCACAGAGGGTGGGATCACGTAAGGCATGTGGCTGCCCAGTTAACGGAATGCCCCATAGTCCTATTTTTCTACCCGGTGAAAACCTGGAAAAACTCTGGTTTTTCATCGTGTTGGCCACCCTGCCCTCCCAGAGTCCGTCCTTTGAGATCGTAGAGCTTTCTCTTCGATAGCTGCTCTCCCGGATAGGTAGACCTAGGACCTGCCACGTGCTCTATGCACGTGCCTGTGCGTCCGGTGCTGCCGGTGCTGGATCCCTGGGGTCTTGGGACTCTGTAGGAAAATGAAAGACTTAGGATGGTTTGCTGACTATGGTTCTCTTTAGTGGGTTTTTGGAGTGTTTTGGTCTGGCTTTTAGCTGGGTCTTAAAACCAATGCAGAGCACATCACAGACTCACCGTGGGGAGTGTTGTGAGGGTGCCCCACATGGACTAACCATTTTTTCCTTCTTAAAACAGCAGAAAGGACCCAGGAGCGATAACAGTAAATCAAATAAGATATTTGTCGGTGGGATTCCTCACAATTGTGGTGAGACAGAGCTCAGGGAATACTTCAAGAAATTCGGAGTGGTGAGTTGTCCCTGCACCAGAGCACGGCGGGTCCGGGCGGGAGCGGTGGAGCCAGATGTCTGTGGACGTTAAGCTTGGAAGGTCCCTCCTCCAGGCCTGTGCCTCCCGCAAAGCAAGCCAGAGCCCAGGAGAGGATTTACTGCTTTTCCAGGCAGTTGAAGGCTCGCCAGGCTGATCTCCTGGAAGGCCCTTCTGATTGTTGTAAGCGCCAGAGTCTAAAGCGCTAGATAGTGTTAGGGAGAAGCAGGGTTTGGCTTGGCTGTGGGAGCCCGCCTGCTGCCTCTTGTCACGGGAGGGAATGTTCTAGGCCAGGTCCTCACAGGAGCAGGATAGACCCCACCGCCCGGGAGGGGGCCGGCCTGGACCTGTGCTGCCCTGCTCCAGCAGCTCACACTGGCCTCCATGCTGCTGGGGACTCACTCCCTGGCTAGGTGCCGTGAGATTTTTTTTGACTCATCACCTGCTCAGTGTTTCCTCAGTGACAACAGAGTTTCTTCCAAGGCTGGTGTTCTTTACGGAAGAGGTTGAAATCTTTTAGAATCTTACGGGGGTTTAACGTTACTTGGGTTCATTTGGAAGCTGAGTTCTAGTAGGGCAGACAGAAGAGAAGATAGGGGCTTGCAAGTAAGCGCATGTGGGGGGCCGTCCCAGTCATCTGCGCAAAGGCACGGGGTCACCCCAGGCTCCCACTGGGTCATACACCCTGTTGGTGGGACAGCCTTGTTGCCCTCACTATCGCCTGTTTGTCAGAGGGTGCCTGAGTGTGCCGAGGGCCTGGGCCAAGAGTTAAGAGTGCCAGAGCACATGATGGTGTGTGCTCAGTGAGCAAGGGGCCCGGGAAAGAGGGGTGCTGGCCGGGTGGACAGCTGTCAGGGAGTGCCAGGCTGAGTGCTGGCCAGCGGGACGCTATTGAAGCATGCGGCTGAGCCCCAGAGCTCCAGCAGCCCAGCCTTGGTTTTTATCTGAGCGGAAGGGTGTGCTGTGGTCCTCCCAGGTCTCGCCTCCCCAGCTGGAGCGTGGGGCTGGGGCCTCGAGTGTCCAGATGGCTCCCGTGAACACTCGAGGCAGAGGCAGCAAGCACTTCCCGTGGCCTACTTCAGGTGTGAGTCTCAGGCGTCAAGCCCCATAAAGTCAGCCTTTTGCCTCGGGACTTCTCTGAGGAAGACATTCCCAAGCTGTCATTTGCCTCGGGAGTTTTGTGGTAGCCAGATGTGCTCGTGGCACCCAGGTTCTCGAACAGCCATCTCTCTTGCAGGTCACAGAAGTGGTCATGATCTACGACGCAGAGAAACAGAGGCCTCGAGGTAAAAGAGATGGAGTTTGTCCTTGACTTTCCCCCTTCAGATGGCAAACTATTTCACAATTAGGTGGTGGTGGTAGCGAGTATTGCCTCAGAGAAGGATGATTTGGAGACATGATTAAAACATAGGCCCTTCCTGTGCAGCACAACCTGTCTGCTTCCCAAGGTCGGACGTCACAGTGTTTTTTTGGCTCACTCTTTTGAAGTTTTTACGACTTGACGTGAATTTCAATATGGTTTCTGTTTTCCAACGTGTACTGAAAGATGGGTGCTTTTTTCCAGTGCTGCACTTGTCATTGAGGGGCGCGTCCTGCTTGGAGTCCCTGCCCAGGCAGGTCTCATTCCATGGCATCAGGCTAGGTCTGCCCCAGCTCGGCTTGAACGTGGACTTTCCTTTATCCATCCCATGCTTTTTTCCTGTTTTTCTTGTTTCTTGTTCCCCTAAGACCATGGGGCAGTGGGAGGAGGGTGAGGAGCCGCCTCAGCACGTCCCTTTGAGGTTCCATGAGCTGCCCACGCTCGCACGCCCAAATTGGTTTGTGAGGCTGGGACAGTGGGCACCTGATTGCCGTGCCCCCGTGCCCCCCCCCCCTTTTTTCAATATTCTTTTCTTTTTTCTTTTTTTTTCCTTTTTCTTTTTTCTTTTTTTCTTTCTTTCTTTCTTTCTTTTTTTTTTTTTTTTTTTTTTTTTTTTTTTTTTTTTTGTGGCTGCCGCTGTTTGTGCCTGCCCGTCTGTTTTGGTTCATCCACCGCTTGTGGGCCAGCCGTGGGAGCTGCCCTGCCCGCGGGCGCCGCGCAGCCCCTGCCCCAGCCCTGTCCGAGGCCCCCCTAGCACAGAGCCGGCGCCGCCGCAGCATGCGCCCGCCATGCTGGAGAATAGTTTGCCATTTGAACTTCCATCCTTCTCTTCTTCCATGATAAGTGACGTATCCTCACTTCATGTCGATTAAGCTGTTAAGTCTTAGCTTAACTTTAACGTAGACATACATGCTTAGTGACGTACTTAAGTGTCTCATAGTAAAGTACAGTAACGTTAAGTAAGTTGTTTTTCCTTTTCTCTCTGTGAATTGTTTGTGATTAACGATATCTCTTTAGATTTCTCTTCTCCAGGTGCTAAATTATATCACACAGGTACAGGCCAGTCCCGCAGTCAGAGGAGGGAACGGGCTTTGCTCCAGTGGGGTGTAAACGAAGTTTCAGTGTGTTTCTGTCCGCTTCCTCAGTGGTGATGTCGCCTCTTGACAGACAGATGCATCCCTAGACGCCCCGCCCCGGGGCTCCTTACCCAAGACTCACCGCCTCTTGCGCTATAACGGACCACGCGAGCCCTGTGGTTGCAGACCCTCCTGCACTTTGAAAAAATGTTAACTTTTTAACATGCTGTTCATCACCCACACTGTGTTCCACCATTTGCCTCCGGTCTTGTGAAACTTCAGGACACGGGAAATCCTGAGGGCTGCTCTTAGATTCCTGACCCCAGTCGCCCCCCATACCCCCAGGCCTCGCCCTGGGCCTGGGGAACATGCTGAGCCGCCGTGGGCTGGGGGGGTTACAGGCAGGAGGAGCTGGCGGGGAGAGCACTTCGGGCTTGGCCTTGGGGCCCATGTTCCTGTGGGGGCTCACACTGTCCTCCACATCAGGCTCGGAGAGTCCCTGTGAGCTCGAGGCCAGCAGAGGGCGGGAGCGACGGCAGGAGCCCCTGGTGGGCTAACGGGGTGTCCCAGAGAGCTCATCCTGCTTTCTCCCCTTCCCAGGTCTTTTCCAGGGCTCTACCTCCCTTCTCCTTCTTGGACAATCTAAGGCAGTGTCCCTGTCCCTGTCTGTCTTAAGGGTTCTGCATGTGTCTCACTGGGGACAGTGACGCCCTGACCTCGCCCATTGTCCCCTCTCCCCTCACCCTAGCAGCTGCCTTTGCTCGCCTCACACCTTCCTCTCCGGTGACTCCCCGCTCTAGCTTCTGTTTCCTTCTGTGTGTCTTGCCGTCATCGTTCTGCAGCCATGATTCCGCTCCTTCTTGCACGCCGTGTGCAGAATCTTGTGTGAGTGTGTGCATAGTCACGCTCGTGCACACGCGTGTGCAGACACATCAGAAGCCTCCTGAGTCCCAGGTGTTCCCTCCCTGCTAGTCTTTCCTCCCCAAGTTTCTGAGCTGCCCTCCCCCCCCATTCCGTCCCCCACTGAGGTTTTGCCTGCAGTCTTCCCACATGGCCCAGCACCTGCAGCCTCAGCAACCCTCTCCCGTCAGCTTGAGAGGCCTCCTCCCTGCCCGCTCCGACTCTGCGGCCCTTAAAGGCCCTGCCGGGCGCAGGCTTGACTCGGGCTCTTGGCATCGGCTGTGATGCTCTGTAGCTTTGTCCCCTCCCCTCCCCGCCTCAGCCTCCGTACCCCATCCCCTTCTTCAGCCGGTCCAGGCTCTCAGCCCTTCCGCTCACCCGGCTTTTGTTCTTCGGGGTCTTCTGGCAGCTGTCTGCCGCACGCGTCCCTTTGTGCTCAGAACAGATGGGCCCCGGGGGAGGCAGTGCAGTCGACTGAGGACCAGACATGCCACATTAGCGGGGCGGTCACACTCACCCAGACCAACCAAACTTCGTTTATACTGCCACTTTCTTGTGTTTGGGAAATGCTAAATTTTTTTTCCCTTTAAAATTCTCTTTTTGATGACATGGTGCCTCTTGCTCTTGCTGCTGACAGCAGAGTTTGACCTGCTGGAACCCGTTGTGGCCTGTATCTTTGTGTATTTTATTTATGTAGATACGTACAGATAGATACCTGTATACATACGTATGTTACTTTGACAGGACTCCTTGGGCTTACCCAACAGCGTTGGATAAGCTTAGCGAGGCACTAACTGTGTAGAGACCGTACTTCTGTTTAACGCGCTAGAACAATATATGGCTGCTGTCAGCACTAGTTGCAAAGCAAATTGCAAGCCGAGGGGGAGAATCTTGGGTTTCAGAAAAGCAGAAGCGCACCCACGGCACACACTCGCCAGAGGTGGAGCTCGCGGCCCGCCCCCCCCCTGCTTGCAGGGGTGCACCGCGGTCCCCTCCACAGAGTGCTCTGGCACACACTGGGCGCACTGGGCCTGCTGGTGGGCCAGGCCCTCGCCTTTCTGCTGTCCGGGCTGCCACTCCGTGAGGCCAGCCCTTGGTGGTTCCCACCGTGTCTCCACTTGGAACCCCGCCTGCATTGCCGGCTCGGGGCCCGCCCTGTAGCCTCACACACTCCGCTTCCCTGAAACCCTTGGGCGACCCCTCGGCCCGGCCCTGATACTGTTCATCATCCTGTTTTGTGTCACAACGCCCTGCTACCTTGATTCACTCTTCGTCGTTGGCTAGGTTTTGGATTTATTACTTTCGAGGACGAACAATCAGTGGACCAGGCTGTCAACATGCATTTTCACGACATCATGGGCAAAAAAGTGTGTAGTTGTAGTTTTATTTTACCTTAAGACCAAACCAAGTCTTAGGCAACTTAGGGATTTCACTGGAAAAGAAAATCTCTGAATAGCAAGAGGGCCGGGGCGATTAGCCGTGTGGGCTCGGGCCTGCTCCTGCAAAGCAAGGGGCCCATCTCGCCGGGGGGATCTGCCTGCAGCGCGGCGGCGCCCAGCTCGCCCGCTCTGCTCCCGGAGCCGCTCACTCTGGATCAGCTGGGGCGGGGGGGAGTGGCCCCCTGGCCGAGGGGCGCCGTCTTTAGGGGGGCGGGGGGGCTCCTGGGCTGGCCTCCAGTGAAATCGCAGGTTGCCTCAGGCTTGGTTTCTGTGACCACTCCTTCAGATGTCTGTCCTGCTTTCCAATTGCCTCCTGCCACCCCCTGCTGGGTGCGCAGCGGACCTTTGACAACAGGTTCCGAGTCAAACTAAAAGAGACATAAACATCCTGAAGGATTGGTTTTTTTTAATTGGGTCACTTACTGTGGAACTCCGGTCCCAACCACATGCTCTCGATAGTACTTAACTCCATGCAGTCAAGTGACCTCTGGTTTCATCTTCATACTGTGTTGCTGCCACGGAGGTGGGCTGGCTCAGAATGGGGCCCCTGCTTCTCATTTTACTGGGTCCCCGGAGCTCTTGGGGAGTTCACTCAAACAAATCACTGGTAGAGATTCTGCAGTGTGGGGTCTCTTAGACTTAGCAAGAGGCTCTGGGTCCCCATTTTTGTGGGATTCCTGTCTCTGTCCTTCTAAAACCTGCTGTGCGCACCCTAGCAGCCCCTGTGGGTACCACGCAGCCAGGATTTCCGTGTTCCTTCCCACATGCCCAGCCCTCTTAGAGACCGTGGCTGGATCTGTCCGTTAGGATGTGGGGGAGGAACGAAGGCAGCACGTTTGCTGCCTCCCAGCGCTCCCGCCCAGCCCGCAGCCCGCTCCCGGGAAGTTGATAAACACAGCAGCGCGTGGAGCTATTTTTACGAAGAGGTGGCTGAGGTTCTGTTGCAGGCATAATTAATTCCATTTGAACCTGACTAAGCAACAGACACAAATCTCGCTCCGACGTTCATTGAAGCTTTTAGTTTAAAATTAGCATACAGATTTCAAGGATGCATGCCAGTTATGAACACAAGTTCAAAGGAGTCCACGTTCCATATTTTAAGGTACTGTGACATTTAAAACTTGGAGGAAGCCTAGTCCTGCTTTAGGGGCAGAAAGGCGGCTAAGCGCACGGATCTGCTCCCATCTCCAGGCGGCCACCCCGGCCCGGTTTTGTAGGATGCATCGGTGTCTGAGTCTGGTCTGCACGGAGCACAGAGCGGAGACTGAGGTGGCTTCTCGGTGTGGGGCTCGACTTCTAAAGTAAGGTGTACATGTGTGGGAGCCTGGCTCCTGGCAGCAACCCCGGCCTTGCCCCGTTCCCGTTGCCACCTTCACTGGTGGGCAGGCCACAGCAGCCCCTCGGTTCCTCAGTGGGGCTTCGCCTCCATAAAGGCTTGGGTCCCACTTCTAATCAAAACTGGAGTGTCAGTGGCTGCATCCATGTTCTAATAGGAAGAGGGTTAAAAAATTTTTTTTTTTTACAAGGGCTGCTTTGCTTTGTAAGCAGGAACCAAATTCCCTTAAGGAGAGTGTGTGAAGACTCATTAATTTGAGTTCTTTGAAACTGGTCCCTTGGTCCTGCTGTCACATGGCATTGAGCTAACGGGGGTTTTGTTCCTATCCATGGAGTGTCCTTGGGGCGTCAAGACGCTGGGGTCTGTGCCTCTGTCCCGCTTCCTGTTTGTTCTCCAACAGGAAGGGGTCTTAGGGCAGAACTGACGGAGTTCTGAATGCCTCATGCTCAGCTCCCCAGACTGTGAGACCCCAAGGATGACTCCAAGTCTCTTCCTTCTCATTAAAATTTATCATTAAAAAAAAAAAAAATCAAGACTCTCAAATGCTGAGGCAGCCCTGTCACTGGGGGATCTTTTAGTTGTCAATCTGCCCGCATCTTAAAAGCTGCATAAGGGAGGGAACCTCCTGGGGGCCACAGTGCTTGGTGCGAGGAGGGCCCGCACGCCTGGCCCCCGCTGGCCCGGCCCCTCCGAATGCTGTGGCTCCTGACAACACCTAAAAGAGGAAGGGTCCTGGGCTGCTGACCTAACACAGTATGAAGATTGCTTACTGATTCAAATGTCCATTTTATTGCATGTTTGTTTACTTTTTTTGTTAGATGTAATGTAAGATTCTCTTTATCACATCCATTCCCTCTGACATTATTTTGAGTTAATTGAGATTCTTTAAGCGTTAGCCTGGGGAAGGTAAGTCTTTATCTTCCATTAGACATTTTAAATAAAAAACCTAAGTAAACCAACTGTGTTTCTCAGGTATGAGCTTAAAGCACAGGCAGGGTGGGAGGGCTCTGGGAAGGTCCTGTGTGCTTTCGGCCCAGCTGCTCCCAGCGGAGGTCCCTCCACCACGGTGCTCGGAGAGCATCCGGCTCCTGCCATTCTGAGGCCCTGGAGAGGCCCAGGAAGAGGGCTGTGATTGTTCGGTCGGTCCTGGTCTCTGTGTCCCTGGGATGACGAGGCCATCGGAGGAGAGAGCTGTCACTTCACCGTGGCTGAAAGACCCTTGTCACAAATCTCAGGGTTCTTGGTCTTCAGTCCGTGCTCTGCAGCGGGTAGGGCTTAACATGTCTTACGGTTGCATCTGTTGTACCTGAGAAACATGTTTTAAACAAAAAAAAAAAAAAAAGAAAGAAAAGAAAAGAAAGAAAGAAAAAAAAAAGAAAAAATTATAAATTTTTAAAGAAAAAAATACTGGCCTAAATAAGGTTTATAGTTAAGTATTTAGTTTTAAGTCATAATAAGATGCTAAGTGTAGTCATAAGTTATTTGAGGGTGTGTCTGAAGGGAAGGGGGTCCAGGACCCCCGGCATCTCCGTAAACCAGAGCTCCATTTGTCTAGGTGGAAGTTAAGCGAGCCGAGCCGCGAGACAGCAAAAGCCAAGCGCCAGGACAGCCAGGTGCCAGCCAGTGGGGCAGCCGAGTCGTGCCCAATGCCGCCAATGGCTGGGCAGGCCAGCCCCCACCCACGTGGCAGCAAGGATACGGCCCTCAAGGTAAGGCTCCAGCACCCAGAACCGGTCGGGCCCCCAGGCAGCCGCCTCAGGGGAGGCCCCCTTGGAGGCCAGGGTCCCGCAGCCGTGTGCGCCCCTTCCTGTGGACTTACTGCAGAGGTGGGACAAGTATGCTGGGACAGCTGCTGGCTGGGCAGGTGTGTGGGCTTTGACGGAGTACGTGAAGGCGGGGGGGGGCTCCCGCCCGTCCCCTGTCCAGCACCACCCAAGGTTGACACGCACAGCTGTGCACTCGTCCCGGGAGCCAGCACATGGGCTCTGTGCTGGGGGCCCGATAGCCCCTGAGGAGTGAAGTGACCCCTGGCATGCTCAGGCCATGGTCAAGGTCCCCCTCTGTGGCTTGGGCAGAGGGGTCTCACTGTAGCCAGCAGAGCCCCAGCGAGCATCCTCACCCCAAGTGCCATGCTTTGCAGGAGGGCCAGGTGCCGTCCCTGAGGTCCGCGGCAGTGCCGGGCGGTGCCCATAGGGGGCGGCCAGGAGGACCTGGTGGACCTTGGAGTCTGTCCTGCCGCCACTGCCCCTGACGGTGAGCTGGTCGCAGAGGCTCAGATCAGATGCTTTCAGGGAGACTCAGACCTTTGTCCAGCTGGACGGAGGCAGTCCTGCCTCTTGCGCCCTCTGGATCTGCTCCTGCTCCCTGGGCTCTGGGCTGATGCCAGCTGGGGTAGCAGGGCCTCTGAAGGTTCAGCAGAGTGTGGGCAGCCTGGCAGAAGGGCTGAAGTTCCCGGGGGGGCTGCCCGGCCAGGATCTGTAGCCTCTACCCCCTTTACACATGCAGAGAAGGGACAGTGTCTAGGGAGGGGCAGGAGGAGGCCAGGTGGGTCAGCCTGCACCCTGAGGCACCTGGCACCCCCCCCCCCCGCCCGAAGCTTGCAGAGTTGTCTTTTAAAAAATATTTTATCGTGAAATAAAACCCAGACGTAAGAAACCAGTTACTGTGACCAGATGCCCTGGTACCCACTAGCACTTGGCTGGCAGCCAGCCTAAGGTCCCACCTGTGTATCTGAGCCCCTCAGCTGTGGGTGCCCCCTTCACCCTTTCTGATGGGTTCTGTTGAAGAGCCGGGGCCGCCTGACCGACAGGCTTGTCTTGGGGAGCCTTCCTCTGTAGAAGCTGGATGCAGGTGGCCGCCCTTCTCCCGTAGCCAGGTGCCGGACAAGCTCTGGGGGTCATGCCCATGTTCCTGATCCAGCACCAGCCCCTCTGATGCCTTGCTCAGGGCTGGGACACCCTCCCTGTCCCCATGGCTCAGCAGGACGCCAGGCCTCTTGAGTGTGTGTCAGGGGTGGGCTCAGCTGCTAGTCTGGGACGTTGACAGGACACCAACCACCCTCTTTGTTTTCCTGTTTAGGAATGTGGGTTCCAGCAGGACAGGCAATTGGTGAGTCCTTATTTGCGGGTGTCTGAGAAAGAGACTCATAGCGGGTGGGCCCACCGTGGGCCTGGGCAGCTGGGGGCCCTGTGCGCCACACGCTCTCCCCTCACCTCTGCGCCCTGTGTTCCAGGTGGCTATGGACCGCCCCCTGCAGGAAGAGGAGCTCCCCCACCGCCCCCACCATTCACCTCTTACATCGTGTCCACCCCTCCCGGAGGGTTCCCCCCTCCTCAGGGCTTCCCACAGGGCTACGGTGCCCCCCCACAGTTCAGTAAGTCATGCGGGCCCCTGGAGCGGGCGGGGGCAGCCCGGGGCCCTTGCTTCCCATCCTGAGAGGCATCCTTGCAGCCTCTGCCTGGCCCCCGCCTGGACGTGGCCGGGGTGCTGCCAGTCGCGTCCCTCTGCTCAGAGGGAAGTGGGCCACGTCGCAGGGGCGTTTGGACCCGATCTTGTGGTTCCACAGCGAGGGGCTTGCACGTGCAGGGAACTTCAGTGTCAGCCCTCGGCGTGCCCTCCAGCTCGCCTGCGAGGTGCCGTGCTCGGCCTCGGTGGGGAAGCGCGGCCTTCCTGGTGCGTGGGTCTGCGGCAGCAAGGGGGAGCCCTCGCCTCATCCACCGTGGCTGGCGGCTGCGGTTTCCACGTGCCACGCGGCCCGCACTGACCGGCCCACGGTCTCTCTCTGAAGTGCTTGGGCGTCTGGCTCTGTTGTGCTGTCGGGGTGCGCCCCGGCTTGGGTCAGTCACGTTGCCAGGCTCCCAGCTACAGAGGCCTTGCCTGCAGCAGGCCACGTGACGACCGTGTGGCCGCTCAGGGCAAAGGTGTGCCCCTCCCTGGGCTGGACCACATCCAGTTTGATTTCTAACAAGAAGACAGGTGGATAGAAACAGGGTGTGTGGAGCCCCGGGCCCCAGCGGATGGGCACGACCCCCCCGCCCTCGTGGAAGGCTTGCTGCCGTGGTTTTGTCTGCCTGAAGCACAGACTGCTGTTTGCTAGTCGGGTTTTGTGGTTTTCAAGAGTATGCCCGTGCAGCTCCTGTCCTGACCCTTGCTGTTGGGGTACGGCAGGCCGCCCCCAGCCCACCCTGAGGGAAACCCGAGGCCTGGAGCTTGGTGGGTTTCAGCAGGGGATGGTGCGGACAGCTTCTGCTGGGCTGGGCCGGGCCAGGGTCGTGCGCGGTGTCTGTGTCTTTCTCTCCTGTTTGTTTGCAGGCTTTGGCTACGGGCCTCCACCACCACCACCGGATCAGTTTGCCCCCCCAGGGGTCCCTCCTCCACCTGCTACTCCAGGGGCAGCACCTTTGGCCTTCCCTCCGCCTCCGTCTCAGGCTGCCCCAGACATGAGCAAGCCTCCAACGGCCCAGCCAGACTTCCCCTATAGTCAGTACGGTGAGTTGGAGACCTGCAGGCGCGGCCTGGGGCCCAGGACCTGGCCCCACCATCTCCTGCCTTCCCCACCGGTGCACGCGCGCGCGCGCGTGTGTGTATGTGTGTGTGTGTGGTGGGAGGCCTGCAATGCAGGGGCTTGTTGGAGAGGGTCAAGTAAAATGAAAAGCAGGATTTTGGTTTCTTGGGTTTTTGCTAGGGGGTTAGTCTTAGAAGAGCATCGGTTGTGCAGCAGGCGTGCTGGGGCCTGTGGGTTTGGGAACTGGAAGCTGTAACGGGGCCCCTAGAAGGATGGCACAAGGGCTTCTTGGGCACCCCGGCAGGCCCTGTTCCTCGGTTGTCTTGTTTTCTTGTGAGTGCAGAGTGCAGGGCTGGCACCTGCGGGCCACGTGGGTTCATGGCTCTGGTGTGTGGCAGGCACTGGCTTGGGTGTTCCCCTGTGCTTCACTCAAGGGGCTGGTCATGGAGTAGGTGCTTCTGAGCCTGGTCCCTGTAGGGTGGCGTCCCGTGGCCTGTGTGGGAGGAGCTCATGTGAGGACAGGGTTGGGCCCGTTGTCCTGGGTCAAGCAGGCCCCCAGCCCGGGGTCTCCCGCCGCCTCTCCCGACAGGTGGGGCTGCCTGTCGCCCGGGCTCCTTGGGCTCCTGTGGGAACCGCGGCTTCAGCCCACCTTCCTCATCTGGGGCTCTGCTGTTCCCTCATTGCTGAGACTGCAGTGTCTGCACGTTGAAGCTGTTTTTGCCCTCGAATGCCATCCCTGGCCAGCTGCTCCCAGCCGCCCGGCATCGTACAGTCTTATCCCCCTTGGCACCGTGCCAGGCGGCGGTCGCTGAGTGCATGGGTGGTCAGCACAGGTGTCTGGCGTGCGTGAGCAGCCCTAGCCCTGGGTGGGGGTGTGCTGACCGCCAGCATCGCCCCGCCCCGCCCCTCTGCTGAGGCTGCCCTGGGGTAGTCACCCTGGTCTCGTCTCTTGCCAGGCCTGGGTACCTATTCTCAAGACCCGTCAGGCTTCGGGCCCATACTTTGTTTACACTCTTATGGTCAGGCTGAGCAGTGATGTGGCCTAGGTAGGTGGCACCTCCTCATCCACAATCCCCACTCTGCCTGCACCTGGGCAACGGACACCGCCTCCTCTGCCATCCTGGGCGGGGGTGGACCTGGTGGTGCCCTTGGGACGGGGCCCTTGCTGGGGCGAGGATCTCGACTGGCCACAACCCCATGGCCCCAGGAGCTCTGCTTCTGCAGGGCAGGAGACATAGTTCCCCCGTGCTTTCGTGCACCCTCTTGGGGATCCAGGGGCCCTGGGACACGTCTTCATCCCAGGTGTGCAGTCTGGTGCTGTTCCCTTTCCAGAGGCGCCTCCCGTGCCTTTTGAGGTCAGCAGTGCAGGGTCTAGGTCCTGTTTGGAGGAGGGACCTGCCCGACCCAGGCAGCCGCTGCAGGCATGGCGCCGGGAGTGGCTGACCCCTGGCGACGGGCACGCAGTCTTTCCCCGCAGCCGTCGGTTTTATGGAAGCTGCCAGGTTGGGTCGGCTCTGCAGAGAGGACCGTGTGGGGTCTGGCGGTCATCCGGGAGGGAGGCCTGGCGCTAGTCGGACGTTTTCTTAAATTCTGGGCACTGTGTCTGAGTCTCCCATGCCTTCCACTCAAACGTAAACTTCCTGGAACCCTCGGGCCACCGAGCCAGGCCAGGTGCCCTTGGCTCCCCAAGCTCAAGGGCGTCCAGTGGCTCCTGTGCCGCCAGGGCCCAGCCCCGCATCCTTGGCAACGGGTGGGGAGGCGAGGCCGAGGACGGAGGGGGCAGACCGCGGGGTCCTAGAGGTCTCTGAGCTGCTTTTCCTTCTGCGCGGAGCCGGCGGTCGGGGTCCTGCGGGCACGAGGATGGGCTGTGCGGGCGTGACCCCTCCTCGGCCTCCGCGCGCAGCTGCCGTCCGCCCCGGCTGACTGGGCTCTCTCCCTGCAGGTTACGGACAGGACTTGGCTGGCTTCGGACAGGGCTTCTCAGACCCCAGCCAGCAGCCCCCCTCCTACGGGGGCCCCTCGGTGCCAGGCTCGGGGGGCCCCCCTGCCGGCGGCAGTGGCTTTGGACGAGGTCAGAACCACAACGTGCAAGGATTCCACCCGTACCGACGCTAGCTGGCCGGCGCCTTGCGGACGTCGGGGCGGCCGAGACCCAGGATTTAGAACTTGTGAACTCGTGACAATCACAAACTTGGCAGAAAAATAGCGACTCGACGGTGGGGGGAGGGAGGGCGAGAGGCTTTTGGAGGCGGCTGTGGGTGTCTGGACTGAAGTTTTTAAATATATTTCTTTCTCTAACCCATCAGCACAATAAAAAAAAGTCACTGGTTCAACAACAGGGTTAAAAAAAAATGTCTTCAGCTTTAATTCAAAACTTCAGGTTTCTTTTTTCTTCTTTTTTTTTTTTTTTTGAAATTATTTTCCTGAGCCTTTTGTTTTACCGTATATTGTAAACTTTTATGTTAAAGAAAAAAATATACATTTACAAATTGTGAGATTTTTAAGAGAAATTTTCTACGATGTATACTGGCTTATTTTTTAATTTAAAGCGGGGTTTCCGTCGGCACTGGTGGCAGTGAGGGGCGTTTTCGGTGCCTCACGCCTGGCTTTGAGGGTTGGGGCTCGTTGGTCCAGAAACTCTGGGAGCTTACAGAAGTCTACTGAGCGTGTTTTGTTTTTTTGTTTATTCCTTGCTTTTGTCGACTGACCTGCCCGGCTCTGTGTGCAGGTGCGCCGTGGGGGCCGTGGGGGCCGTGCCCGCCCAGCCTCGCCGGCGCCGCCCGCGTCCGCCCCGGCAGCAGGGACGGGAGGCCTCGTCAGCCGCTCTCCCGCGCACGTGGTTTCAGGGCGTCCCCACTGACCAGTTTGACTCTGGTTTGAATAAAGAGAAGTGCGTTTGGATTAGAAACCCACGTTGTGTCCTTTTATTCCCTCCCTGCTCTCGGCTATGCGTCCCCCCGACCCCCATCCCGGGCCCGGGAAGAGCCAGCGGGGAGCCCAGGGCCCTGCCTCGGGGCGCCTGCCTTCTGGAAATTGCAGCCGATGTGAGTGGAAGGTGGCCCAGGGCCGGGGCCCGGGGGAGCTGCAGCTCAGGTCCGGAGGCGCCCAGGTTCCGGGGCTTGGTGGCTGCTCGCCGAGTGCCGAGCGAAAGGCGCCCGCGCGGATCTGGGGGGTCTGGCCAGGACTCCCCCAGACCACTCACCTTGCCGCAAACCGGGCTGTTCACGTGGATGGTGTGGGCGGCAGGACAGCACGTTGAGGGCCGGTGAGGCGGTAGGGCGGCATGGTGGCCTGAGCCCCTAGCTGAAGCTGGACACCTCAAGGGCACTTGGCGGGGGACCCCCCGTGACGCAGGAGGGAGGAAGGAACCCTGCGGCCAGGGACGTGGGGTGGGATTGAGCTGCAGCGTCCCAAGGTGGCCACCCCCCTGCCCAACACACGGGGTCTGGCCCTGCAAGAGCGGGAGGACTCCTGGGTCCAGGGGAAGCTGGACTCAGTGAGGAACCAAGTGGGTGAATCCTCCCTTGTTCTACTGTATGGGGGCCTGAAGGCTGCAGTCACAAACTGCCACCAACTTAGGGCTTTTTTTTTTTTTTCTTTTTAAGAATTTATTCATGAGCGACAGGGACGCAGAGGGAAGTGGCACGCTCCCCGTGAGCAGGGAACCTGATGCAGGATTCGATCCCAGGACTCAGATCAACGGCCTGAGCCAAAGGCAGATGCTCAACCACTGAGCCACCCAGGCGCCCTAACTTAGGGCTTAAACTGCTCACACTGATGCTCTGATGGTTCTGGGCTCAGAAGTCCCACAACCCAGGTGTGGGCAGGGCTGGTCACCCCCCCTGGGGCCCCAGGGAGACCCGCTCTAGCCTTTTTGTGCTTTCAGTGGCACCCCCTCCCCGGCCCGTGGCCCCTCCTGGCTTCTCACCACCAGCAGCCCAGGGTCTGCCTCTGGGGAGGACCTGGTGAGGACACTGGGCCGCCTGGGCCTTGACAAAGTCCCCTTTGCCGTGGGAGGTGACATGTCCCAGATCCTGGTCTTTGGAGGCCATTATTCTGTCCTTTGAAAGACCACAAGATTTTAAAACGTAAAAAGAAAAGGAGGGACGCCTGGGCGGCTCAGCGGTTGAGCCTCTGCCTTTGGCCCAGGACGGGACCCCGGGGTCCTGGGATCGAGTCCCATGAGGGGCTCCCCGCAGGGAGCCTGCTTCTCCCTCTGCCTGTGTCTCTGCCTTTCTGTCTCTCATGAATAAATAAAATCTAAAATAAAAAGAGAAAGAAAATGATTCATCCAAAATGCACCGGGTACTTCCAACGTACCGAAGATAAAGTAATGGACGAAACCCCCAGAAGGCCCATCGGCGCCCACGGCCCAGCCCGGCTCTCGCTCTGGGGCAGGGAAGGTGGGTTCAGCTCGAAGCCAGAGAGAAGGGGTGCCTCCTCTGCAGTTCACAAAATGCCCCCTCGTGGCGACACCCCACCGTGCACCTCAGCCCGCCAGGGCCTCCCCTTCCCCCGGGAGCTGCTGCCACCCGGTGCGCGGAAGGAACCTCAGGCCCTGCCGTCCGCCCATACTGCAGGGCATCACAGGGTGAAACGTTAGCTCCTTTCCTTTGTGAAATCTCTGCAGAATTAAGATTCCCTGGCAAAAAAAGGCATCGTGCAAACAATGCAGGGGTCTGCAGCTGGCCCGGGCTCCCGGGACCCCACCTTGCTCTGGAGCGTGGGCGAGCAAGTCCCCTCACCAGGACACATCCTGCAGCCCCCAGAGCTGTGCTTGTTCTCCACTGGGGACAAGGAGGGGCGTCCCCTTCTTTGGTAGAGTCTGACTGGCCCTACCCACGGGACTGTGGAAATGACTGGGGGGGGGGGTCCCCACTTCCTTTGAGATTTCCTGTTCCCTCCAGGCCAGCCCCAGCTCCTCACAAAGCCAAACCCCACCCAGCAAACTGGCCTGAGGCCAGGAGGGGGCCCGGAGGCTGCCGTTCCCACGGAGACCAGCCCGCGGTCGCTGGGTGCGGCAGAGGCACCTACCTCATTCCTACCCCGCCCGGCGTTCAGTGCTGTGGCCCTTACCCTCGGGGCTAGCAGTGCCACTTCAGCTTGTTCTCTGCGTGCGTGCGGCTGGTTCTTGTTTCCGAATGCTTCTGCTGTTTTTGCTTTACGTGAGAATTTTCTAGTGCAGCATTTTAATTCTTTTAATGATTTTTCTTTCATATCTTTTGAGTCATTTTCTTAGAGGCTGCTCTAGCTTAAGATGCACCATCGTGGGACGCCTGAGTGGCTCAGCAGTTGAGCGTCTGCCTTCGGCTCAGGGTGTGATCGAGTCCCCATCGGGGTCCCCGCAGGGAGCCTGCTTCTCCCTCTGCCTGTCTCTCTGCCTCTCTGGGTGTCCCATGAATAAATAAAATATTTTTTTTGATCTTTATTTTATTTTTTTTAAATTTTTTAAAATTTATTTATTTATGATAGTCACAGAGAGAGAGAGAGAGGCAGAGACACAGGCAGAGGGAGAAGCAGGCTCCATGCACCGGGAGCCCGACATGGGATTCGATCCCGGGTCTCCAGGATCGCGCCCTGAGCCAAAGGCAGGCGCCAAACCGCTGCGCCACTCAGGGATCCCAAATAAATAAAATCTTAAAAAAAAAAAAGATTCATCGTACTAACGCTCTGTAAACACCTCAGGGCACAGAGCACGCTCACCCTGCCGTGCACCCATCTCCACCACCGTCTCCAGAACCTTCCATCTCCCCACACGGAGACCCGGTCCCCAGGAAGCACTGACCCCCCCCCCGCCCCTGCCCCACCCCTGGCTCCCACCACCTCCTCTGTCTCTGTGGACAGAGGCCTCCTCTGGGGACCTCCTGGGAGTGGGGTCCTGCGGGAGGCGTCCTTCTGGGTATGGGTCCCCTCCCTGAGCCCGGTGTCCTCGGGGTTTGTCCACGTGGGGGCAGGTGTCGGGCCCCTTCCTTTCCGGGGCTGGGGGCTGGGTCGTATCCCAGGTGTGGACGGGCCACACCGTGTGTCCCCGCTCCCCTGGATGGACACCGGGGTGCTTCCCCCTCCTGCCCCCCGTGAGGCTGCTGCGCACCTGCGCCCGTTGGAGCCCCAGCCTTGGCCCCCGGGTCACAGCTCCATCACAGCTCCAGCCCGTCCCTTGTGCCCAGCCGCGCGGTTACACGTCACCTGCACACCTGTTAGGGAAGAGGGTCCCAGGTGCCCCGCCCCCGCCTGCGCTCCGCCCTCCCGCCAGCAGGGGGCGCGCTCCCCCGCCCGGAAAGCGGAAGCGCCTTCGCGCGGACGGCGAGGGGGCGGGGCGCGCGGGGCGCACGTGATAACCGCGCAGGCGCGGAGCGGCGGCCTTTCCCGCAGAGGAGCTGGCAAGATGGTGAGTACCTTGGTACGGTTCCCGCGACGGTTCCCGGCCCATCCGACGGCATCCGCGGCCTGGCCGCCCCGTGAGCGCCAGGGGCCGGCCGTTCGGCTGCGGCAGCCGCCTCCAGGCCCGCGGGAGCCCCGGACGTGAGGGCGCGGGGCGGGCCCGGTCCGTGCCGGGAGGACGCGGGGCGAGGCCGGTCCCCGCCGGACCCCAGCCGCCCGCAGCCGCGTGTGCGCTCCCGGGCCGGGCGCGTCGTGTCCCCGTGGGCTGCGGGGCGCGGGCCGGGTGGGCGCGGCGGCCGTGGGGCCGGCTCCCACCCGCGCTGCCCCCCTGACCTCGCTGCCCCCGCGCCCGGCCCGCGCAGGCGGAGGTGGAGCAGAAGAAGAAGCGCACGTTCCGCAAGTTCACCTACCGCGGCGTGGACCTGGACCAGCTGCTCGACATGTCCTAGTAAGCGCGGCCGGCCGGGCGGGGGCGGGGCGGGGACCGGGGGCGGGGGGCGGGGGGGCGCCCCGGCTCAGGCCCCCGCCTGTCCCCGCGTCCCAGCGAGCAGCTCATGCAGCTGTACAGCGCGCGGCAGCGGCGCCGGCTGAACCGGGGTCTGCGGCGGAAGCAGCACTCGCTGCTCAAGCGCCTGCGCAAGGCCAAGAAGGAGGCGCCCCCGATGGAGAAGCCCGAGGTGGTGAAGACGCACCTGCGGGACATGATCATCCTGCCCGAGATGGTGGGCAGCATGGTGGGCGTCTACAACGGCAAGACCTTCAACCAGGTGGAGATCAAGGTTCGCGGGGCTGCCGGGCCCCTCGGGGGGGTGGGGGGGCGACCTGGCGGCCTGCGCCCCCGTGACGCCCTGCCCTGCTCGCCCTCCGCAGCCCGAGATGATCGGCCACTACCTGGGCGAGTTCTCCATCACCTACAAGCCCGTGAAGCACGGCAGGCCCGGCATCGGGGCCACGCACTCCTCCCGCTTCATCCCCCTCAAGTAGCCGGTCGGCCAATAAAGGCACCGACTCCCGGACTCGTGTGGTCCAGCGTCTGAGCTTGCTTCCTCCGGTCGGCGCGGCGCCTGGTTTCCCGCCGCGGGCGCCGGCTTGGCCCCGCCTAGCTGAGGTCGTTGGCAGCCTCCTGGCATCTCCTGGGCCGAGGGAGCGTCTGCCCTGGGGCGTGCCCTTCTGGGGCCGCCACTCCCCACCTCTCCCTCCCGGGGGTGGGTCCACAGCTGGAGCGGATGACTGCGGGTATTTCTGCTCAGGTGTCTCCCCCGTTTCGGGCACAGGGCACCCCGAGGTGGTGGATGGCCCAGACAGGGTGCTGACCAGGCAGTCGGGGCTGTAACTCGCTGACGGATCACAGGTGGGGAGACGGGAGGTGGTGCTCTGGGTTTGCCCGGAGGAAGCTGACCTGGGGACAGCAGGGAGGTGGGAAGTGAGGTGCCTACTGCGCGCCCGGCAGTGGTAAGGTGTGCGCACCCCTGGGAGCGGAGGGATGGCCAGGTGCTGAGCTGGGGCCCAGAGGCGAGGAGGGGAAGGACTCGGGATGGCATGCAAAGGAGCCTGCCTCACCCGGTGGTGACTGCTGTCCTCTCCAGCTGCTTTTTTCCTGGACTTTATCTCTGGGTAGCAGAATAATTCACTCACACTCTTACCTCTTGGGTTGGAGTTGGTTAAATTGCTAAAACAGAAAGCTGGGGCTGTTTATGGTTTCTAGTAGAAGGTGGTAAAAGCAGCAGCAGGATGGCACAGGCTCCTCCAGTTCCAGCAAAGGAACCGCAGTGTGGAGTCCCGGAAGGGAGTGCAGCCTGTCTCCTACTACCCCTGGGACCCCGAGCTCCTATGGAGCCCGAAGGGAGAGAGAGAGAGAGTTCCCTGTGGGAACTGGGGCCGAGTATCTCAACAGGCGGAATCAAAACTCTTCCACTCAGGAGTTTCTAAGGTGCCCAATGGCGCCGTGCCCAAGGGATTGGGTCGAGGCCTGACAGGAAGTAGGGCCAGGGAAGGCTGTGCAGGCTGATACGGGACACCCGAGGCACGGCAAAGGGGAGGGACTGGGGGGCCCTTGTGAACGGTTACCTGACCCTGGCTGGACCGCGGAGAGACCAACTAGAAACTGAGTCCACGCCTCGAGGTGTTGGGAGTTCGGCCGAGGCAGGGCAGCGCTTTGTGATTTCAAGGCCATCGTCCGAGCTGCTGGCCGCAAAGCCTGGTGGATACCGGCCCTACTGCCCTTTGTGTGACCTTGACTCCAGTGAAGGGCCCACTCGCCCCAGCCAGGAGGGTGAGGCTCACTGTGGTCTCAGTTGTCAATTGTTTATTTATTTATTTATGATAGTCACACAGAGAGAGGCAGAGACACAGGCAGGGGGAGAAGCAGGCTCCATGCACCGGGAGCCCGACGTGGGATTCAATCCCGGGTCTCCAGGATCGCGCCCTGGGCCAAAGGCAGGCGCCAAACCGCTGCGCCACCCAGGGATCCCCTCAGTTGTCAATTTTTGAAGTTTTTACTCGTTTCACGGGTAGAATTTCACTTGGATACAACACTGCTCATTCCATCACGTGCCCTCCTTAGTGCCCATCACCTGGTGACCCCCTCCCCCCGCTTCTCCCCCTCGCAGCAACCCTCTGTCTCCCGGGTTTTGTTTTGTTTTGTTTTTGTTTTTAATGGATTTTATTTATTTGAGGGAGAGGAGAAGCAGACTGACTACCTGCTGAGCAGGGAGCCTGACCTGGAGCTCCATCCCAGAACCCCGGGATCATGACCTGAGCTGAAGGCAGAGGCTTCGCCAACTGACCACCCCAGATCCCCATTTGCCCCTTCCTATTTTTATCTGTATTTTTTCTTAGTTTTAGAATTTCCATAACTAAAAAATGAAATGGAGTAGAATAAACGTTTTCTTTTTTTTTAAATAGACTTTATTTTTTTTAAAAGATTTTATTCATGAGAGAGAGGTACAGACACAGGCAGAGGGAGAAGCAGGCTTCTCACAGGGAGCCCCATCCATGTGGGACTCCATCGCAGGTCCCCAGGATCACGCCCAGCGCTAAACCGCTGAACACGTGGGCTTGCCCGAATAAACGTTTTTTCTTTTCTTTTTTTTTTTTTTTTTAAAGTACGGGCTATTTTAAATTTTTTTTTAAATTTATTTATTATTTATGATAGTCACAGAGAGAGAGAAAGAGGCAGAGACACAGGCAGAGGGAGAAGCAGGCTCCATGCACCGGGAGCCCGATATGGGATTCGATCCCGGGTCTCCAGGATCGCGCCCTGAGCCAAAGGCAGGCGCCAAACCCCTGCGCCACCCAGGGATCCCCCGAATAAACGTTTTCTACACAAGATTGGCAAGGGGGACAAAAATAATGGGGCGAAATTGTGCCTTCTCTGGAAAGTGTTTTTTTGCTCCAAGTGTGAAAAGCCATGCACATGAGACCGTTTTGAGGCACCAGGTCCGTGTGCAGGACTAGAGACCAGTGCAGGCAGGTGTCTGGGGCTCTCCCCCTTGGGGGGCGTGGGAGTGGCGGGGTGCCAACCCAATAGGGTTGGTGCTGGCTGTGTTAGCAAATAAAGCTTTGGTAGCACAACCCAAGTCCACGGGACCTTCATTTAGCCAGTTTCTGGTGTTGAATGAAGCGTTGGTGTCGCCCTCGTTGAGGGCCTCCGTAGAAGCTTCCAGCATGGCCAGCACAGGCCACCTTGGCCTCAAGGTGGGAGAGGTCAGTGATTACTGTTCTTAATTTTCTGCAGTTTGAATTTACATTATGTGTGCTTGGGGACCACGCATATTAGTGTTCCCAGCAAAAGGAATGTGTCCTCAGCCGGAGGCGCACAGCCAGCGGGCACAGGCCCTCTAGGCGGGCTGTGGGGCAGGGTCCCCGGGAACCTCCTTCGGGGCTCCCGGCCGCACCACTGCCTTTGTGCCCCTCTGAATGGCCCTCAGGGCCGGTTCCACCGGGCTGCAGCCCCCCTCCGTTCCAGAGCGGAGGCTCCCACCCTGCTGCCCATCCCCACGTCGGAGGCAGCGCCCCGCCCCGCCCCGCCGGCCAGCCGCCTTCGGAGCCTGCCCCGGCTCTGACCACTCCTGTTTCTCACCCGTCCCTTAATTTGAAATAAGTAGGTGTTCACCCCCTCACGGCGGGGGCCCCAGAATACTGCCTGGAGTCCCCGAGTGTCCCACCAGGCCCGGCCCGCCGCGCCCCCCCGCGCGCCCTCCGCCCGCGCCCCCAGCCCCGCTTGCTCGGGGAGGCCAAGGCCGAGGCCGCGCCCCTCCCTCTTGCCGCTCGAGCTTTGCTGTTGCAGGAGCGGTTTAGCGCCCCCATCCCTCCGCGACCAGCGCGGCGCCCCCCGCCCGGTTCTCCCCGCTGCCGCCGGGGGCGCCGGGGCACCGCGCCCCTCGAGGTGAACGGCCGAGCCCTCCAGGTCCACGGGAGCCCGCGCTCGGCGCCCCAGCCTCCTGCCCCCTCCCTGCGCGCTGGCTTCCCCGTGCCCGGGCCCTGGCGGTCGGGTCGGGTCTGTTGAGCCCCCCCCCCCCCCCCGCTGATTCCGGGGCCGGCCGCAGCCGTCGCACTGTCCACTCGCGGCCTGTCCTTCCCCCTCCCCCGCGCCCGTCTCCCACGAGCGGGGCTTCGTCTGCTCTTGCTCGGGGCCCGGCACAGGCGCGGCTTGGTCGGCGTTGGTTCGGGGGCGGCCGGCGGGTGGCTGCGCGGCCCTACAAGCCCTCCGGCCCCGCGCCCGGCCCCGCCCCACAGCCGCAGCCTCCTCGGGACCCCGCGCTCCGCGCTCCCAGCCCGGTGAGCCCCCCCGGCCCCCAGGCCCCGCCCGCCCCGCGGAGCCAGCCCGCCCCGCAGGCCCTCGGCGCAGGCGCACGGCGTCCCGGCCGTGCCTCCCCCTCCCCGGCGGCCGAGGGCGGGGCGCGGCGGGTCGGGGCGGCCGCGGCTCCATGGGGCTCTGGGGGCTGCTGAGCCTGCTGCACTCGGCCTTCTTCGGGGACCAGGTAGGGCGTGGGGGGCGCTCCGCACGCGCACGAGGCGCGATGGGTCTGGGGGCTCGCGCAGTCGCCGTGGAGACCGTTGCCAGGGAGACTGCCCCGGCTGCCAGGGGCTGGGCGCCCCTCCCCCGCGTCGCAGCGAACCCCCACCGCGGCGTGCGCACGCGCGGCCTCGCGGGCCCGGCTCCCGGCTCCGGGGTCCCCGAGCCCCTCCCCATTGCGCCGACACCCAGAGCAGCTGGGGCGGTGGGACTGCGCCGGGACCGCCCCGCACGCGCGGCCAGGGTCGGGCACGCCCTGCACCTCTTCTGGCCTCAGTTTCCCCCCTGGGCTCCAGCGTCGGGCCGACCCCGACGTTCGCCGACGCTGAGGTTGCGAATCCGCGTCCCGCCGGCTGAGCGCCCCGCCGGCCTCCGCAGGCGCCCCGAAGCGGGCGGCCCGACAGAGAAACTGAGGCCGCGGCGCCGCGCGGAGGCCAAGGTCACGCGTCCAGCGGGGCTGGGGCTGGGGCCGGGGCGGCCGGACGCGCCCCCGGAGGCCCGGCCTGGAGGCCGGCGGGGAGCTGTCCGCGGTGCTGACGGCGCGCTCGCTCCCCCGCCCCGCCCCGCCCCGCCCCGCCCGGGGAAACTGAGGCCCAGAACCCAATCAGGCGGCCCGCCGCCGCCCTTCGGGTTTCGGGGGCACGGCCCCGCCGCTGCCCCGTCTCCAGGGCCAGTCCTTCCCCGCCTGCCTGGGCCCTGCTCCGTCACGCAGCCTGCGCCCACCTCTGGTGCCTGACAGCCCGCAGCCTTCCTGCCTCCTTCCGCCCCACCCCAGCCCCGAGGGGCACGCCCCGCGTACTACCCCAGCCCCTAGCACAGCCCAGGGTCAGCAGGAAGGGCGGGGCGTCACGTGGGAATTGACGCTAAGGTCAGGCTCCGAAGACTCCGGGGCTCCGAGAGCGACCCTGGGGCCAGATGCTGGGAAGGGGGTGGGGGCAGGGGTGGCCTCAGGGTGACGAAGGGGACCGCGGCCCCATGATTCACCTTTGCCCTTGAGAGCCCAGCCGCGGCAGGGGGCGCAGAGGATCACAGGCCCGGCCCCTGGGAAGCCCCCCCACTAGGCCTGGGAACTGCACGTGGGATGGGCGGTGTCTTCCTCCACCACCACCGCCGCCGCCGCCGCCGCCGCCGCCGCTGCCCAGAGCCTGGGGCTGGGGTCCGGGGCTGCCGCAGGGTTTCCCAGGCTTCTCTGGTGCTTGAATTCCCCGTGATGCCTGAGTCTGTGGCTCAAGAATTGCAGGGTCAGGGATTCTCGAGGAGGAGGAGGAGGGGCAGGGGCGTCAGAGATAGGACGTTCCAGAGGCATCTTGCCTGGGGTCCCAGCACCGCAGGCCCCACGGAGGGGGAAGCCCAGGGCACTGGGCAGGGTGGCCCCTGGCTCTGGCCACTGGACCACCCTGAGACTCGGGCCAAGAGGGGCCTGGGGACCAGTGGCGTCTGACCCCGGGGAGGGGAGGACAGACTGAGTTCCATGCGGGCAAGGATTCTCCTGCCCGCCTCCCAGCCAGCAAAACAGGAAACTGAGGCCAGAGAGAGAGAGGGCCAAGGTCACGTAGGCGCGTCCAGGTAGAGCTGAAGCTGGGGCCCAGGGCTCTGCCCTTTCCCCACCCCCACTCCAGCCGGCCAGCTCAGCTCAGGACCCCTCCAGGGGACGGCCGCTGCTCTAAGCCCCCGGCAGGACCTGAAGCAGCCCCACCGGACGCCCGCAGCCCCCGAGGGCATTGGTCTCATGTCCCGAAGGCGCATATGCTGTTCCCCCAGCCTGGAATGCCTTTCCCCTCCTCGCTTCCCGGGCCAACTCGTATGCGTCCTCAAGAGGGCCAAGCGCTCGTGTCCGTCTCTCTGTGCGGCCTTGCCAGCTTCCAGAAGGAGCCCCCTTGCCCATTGCACCCCGTCCTCAAGCCCCACAGGCTGGGGGCTGCCGGGCCTGGCTCCGGAGGCCCAGGACGGCCAGGCCTGTGTGCGTTCGGGGCCCCCAGCATCGCCAGCCCCCCTGCGGGCACCCGGGACCCCCTGCAGTGAATCCCGCCACAAGCAGTGTGGCCCCCGTGCCCTCGGCGCCCTTGGCGGCCCGTCCTGGGCTTCCTTGCACCAGCCCTCCCGTGCTAAGGCTGCAGCCGCGTCCCCGGTGGGGGGACACGGGCTCCTGGGGCAGTGTGCCCGGGCCTCCCTGCCAGGAAAGGCAGAGGCAGGGCCCCTAACCCACGCCCTCCGGGCACGCCTGGGCCTGAGGCAGTAAGGTCTGGCCGCAGCTGCAGAATTCTGGCTCTGGGGACCCTTGGAGGACCTGAGACTGTCCGGACCCCAGGACCCCAGGCCCCTCCGTCCTCTGCCTCACCTGCTGGGAGGGTGAGAGAGGGGTGTGATGAGAGAAACAAGGACACAGAGACTGAAAGAGACCGAGCGACCGGGGGGGGGGGGGGGTGGCCAGGCGTCCCGGCAGGTGCCCACGGAGAAGCCCTCCCCGGGGGACAGCGAGGGTGGCCGGGGTCCCAGGTGCCCCTCAGCAGGGCCGCCCTTCCCCCAGGGGACTCCGCCGTGCCAGCGGTGCCCCTCCCTGGTGGCGGGGGTGGGGGTCCAGCCGCCATCCTCAGCCCTGCCCGCCCTCCCCCGTCCGCCCCAGGCCCCGCTGATCTGTGAGGAGGGGCTGGCCTGCCCCCCCCAATTCTGATGTAACATCCCAGGCTGGATGTCCCCTCTCAGAGGCTCCGGATCCAGCCTCCGGGGGCTCCCACGACCGCTCTACTCCGGAGCGGCTGGAGGCCCCCGCGTCCTAGACCTCGGGGCGCCCCCTTCCCGGGAGGGGGGTCACGTCCCCCTCCCCCTCCCCGGCACACGCAGTCCCTGAACCCGCCCGAGGCCCGACGTCCCGCTGCCGCCGCCGGTCCCCGCCCCGGGCCCCCATTGGCTGTTGCCATGGCACCAGCCCGTCTTCCCGCGCCGCCATTGGCCGCCGCGCCCGCATCCCGCATCCCGCATCCTCCCCCGCTCGCGGTGGTCTCGCCCAGCTCGGGAGCCGCGGCGCCGCCTGGCCAGGCCGGGACCGGGCTTTGTCCGCCCCGCAGCCCTCCGCCCGCGCCGCCGGCACCGGAGCCCCCGCCCCGCGGCCCCGCCAGCGCAGCCCAGGGAGGTACAGTAAGCCGCGCTTCCCCGGTGCGGGCAGGGTGCGGGGCAGGGTGCGGGGCGGGGGGCGCACCCTCCCGAGCCTCCGTGTCTCCAGGGTGGAGCCAGGAGGGAAACTGAGGACCAGGGAGGTGAGCGCCTGCATGGCTGCGCACCGACCCACGCGCACACCCACTCAGGGTTCAACACGGGGATGTCCCACGGTCTGCAGGCAGGCCTGCTGCGTGCTTGGGGGTAGTCCTACACCTACACCTCCTCCCTGGACCTCAGTTTCCCTCTCTGTAAAGCGGGGTGTGGGTTGAAGGAGGGGCCCCTTTGGGCCACATCTGTGCCAACCCGCCCTGGAATGTGGCCACTCACCCCTCAATCAGACCAGCCCCCAGCTATTGATGCTTTCCTTTCTGCAATGGAAATCTCTCAGGGAGGCTCCCCAGAGTCCCCCGGTGCAATCAGGGGGTGAGGGGTAGGCCGGAGGGCTGCCTGGAGGAAGCTGGGAATGGGATGGCAGGAGTAGGGAAAGGTGTTCCGGGTGCAAGCCCGCACTTGCAGAGGCCTGGTGGAAGAGCGCTGCTGTGTGGCCACCAGGTGGTCTTGAGGGCACTGGGGAGCCATGGGAAGTATGGGAGCAGGGGTCAGAGGGAGTCCACCAGTGACTTTCAGAGGTTCCTTCTGACCGTGCATGGGGGGGGGAGTGTGGGAGCTGGGGGAGGGAGGGGCCGGTGGGAGCGTGGAGGTGGGGACTGGGGCCGGGATGACCGGCGGCTGGTGGGTAGGCCTGCTGCCGAGCTCGGGCTGATGACGATGCAGGAGTGACCACCAGATGCAGGTGGAGTGAAGGTACCCCAAGCCCAGCCCGGAACCCCTAAGAAGGCAGCCGCAAGGGAACGGGGTGGTGGTGGGGTGCCCAGCCCCGGGTGGGGCTCAGGCCCGGCACAGGGGGCAGGGATCGGCAGCCGCGTTGCTTCAGCCAGGACCCAGGGGTCCTGCTGCAGGCGCCCCCAGTTCCAGCCTGGGGACCCCCGACTGAGCCTTGGGGTGGATCGGTGTTGGGGCGGGAGGCGAAGGCTGCGGCCGAGGCAGCTGGCCTCCCCTACCTGACACCCTCCCACCCCTTCTGACTGTCCCGGCTGCCCGGCTGCTGCGCGGCCACTCCCATGCGTGACCCTCTGTCCGCCTGGAGGGGCCGCGCAGCGAGTCTTTCTCGCCTCCGATGGCGAACAAGGCCCCGCAGAGGCCAGGAAGCGCCGCCGGGACTCCTGGGTCCCGGTCATGCCTCGTCCGGCACCCTGGCCTCAGTTTCTTCCTCTGAGCACGGCCTCGTGGAGGTCCCCAGGTGCCAGGACAGTGACCAGCAAGTCAGACGTCAGGGTCAGGCGTACAGTAGGTCCTCCCGATGGTGCGGATGGCCCGACCCCAGCCCCGCACCCCTACTGCAGGCCCCGCGCCCTCGCTGACCCCAGGGGAGGGGGGGCGGGGCGGGTGCTGTGGGGCGGGGCCCAGGAGGACAGTGAAGGAGCAAGTGGGTGCATGCAGGTGGCCAGGTGGCAGGGGGTGGGGAGCGAGCACCTCGGCGGCTGACGTGGGGAGGGGGCTCCGGGAAGGCCGGGAGGATGGGCTGCCATTGGTGCGCCTCAGACAAAGGCGGAGGGAGGGGGCGAGTGCTGCTGGGAAGGGAACAAAGAGGGAAGGGGGCGGGGAGGAGGGGGCAGCTCTGGGCAGGGCCTCGCGGGGGAGGAGCCGCCAGCCCGCTGGACACGCAGGGGGCAGGGCCCGAGCGAGAAAGGACAGCCACACACAAAGAGGTGGCGGCGCTGGCGGTGCCCGGGGATGGGGGCCGAGGCCAGGGCAGCCGGGCCAGGCAGGTAGCCGCTCCGGCTCCAGCTGCTGGAGGACGGGGCGGGGCAGGGCCTCCAGGTTTTGGGGCTCCCGGGGGACGGCGGTGGGCCTGTCCGCCCAGCCGTGGGGGTCCCACCAGCAGCCGGGCCACCGCTCTCTGACGCGTTGTCAGCCGTCGCAGCATTTTTCTTGCCCGTCGGTGGGGCGAGCTGGTGGTCTGTCGCCCACCCTCCGGCAGCTGCGCTGGGGGGGGGAGGCCTCGCTGTCAGCGCGCGGGTCGGGAGCCGACAGTGCGGACGCTCACGTGCGTGTGCCGGTCAGCTGCGCCTCTGGGCCGCGTCTGGACCTCCGTCCCACGGCTCTGCCCGGCTCTCGCCCCATTGGCCACGCGGCGGGTCCGCTGGGCCACCCGGCCGCGGTCCCAACACGCGTTCCTGCCGGGATCCGCCCCCAGCCCCCAGGACTGGCCGGAGGGCTGGCACCCCTCGGGTGAGTCTTCTGACCTGTGGCCGCAGGCGCTGCAGGAGCTGAGGATGGCGAGCTCCGTGGCACCCTACGAGCAGCTGGTGCGGCAGGTGGAGGCCTTGAAGGCAGAGAACAGTCACCTGAGGCAGGAGCTGCGGGACAATTCCAGCCACCTGTCCAAGCTGGAGACGGAGACATCTGGCATGAAGGTGCGGGCGGGGCGGCGGGAGAACACGGGTTCCGGGGACAGGGCCGGAGGCCAGCAGGCCAGGCCGCGGCATCCCAGGGTGGCGGCGCCCGGGGCCGCCGGCTGATGCTGGGGCTGCTGTTTGCCCCCCGCTTCAGGAGGTCCTCAAGCACCTACAAGGCAAGCTGGAGCAGGAGGCCGGAGTGCTGGTGTCCCTGGGGCAGACCGAGGTGCTGGAGCAGCTGAAAGGTGAGGAGCCCCGCTGGGGGCCCCGTCACACGCTGGGGCACTCCCCAGCCTGCCCCCCAGGGAGCTGGGGGAAGGAGGGGCAGGGGGGCACTGACCTTGCCCTCTCCCCGCCACGCCCCTGCAGCCCTGCAGATGGACATCACCAGCCTGTACAACCTCAAGTTCCACGCCCCGGCCCTGGACCCGGAGCCCACCGCCCGGACTCCCGAAGGAAGTCCCGTCCACGGCTCGGGGCCCTCCAAGGACAGCTTCGGGGAGCTGGGCCGGGCTACCATCCGACTGCTGGAGGAGCTGGACCGGGAACGGTGAGAGTCCGCAGGTGGCAGGTGGCCCGGCAGGTGGCAGGTGGCCCGGAGCTGGCCGAGCGCCTCCCGCGCGGCCCCGCCCCCAGCCGTCTCTGAGCCCCGATTGGCCCACGGCGTGTGGCCCGCCCGCCTCCTGAGTGGCCGCCTGTGCGGTGCCCGCGGTCCAGTGGCCCTCCTGAGGACAAAGGGGAGGGGGCGTTCCTGGCAAAGAGGGAAGCTCCCAGGAGATGTCCCCAAGGGTCCCCAGTATGCCGGCTTCTGCAGGGACAGGGCTGTGCCCGTTGCCAGGGTCAGGACTGGGGCCAGGAGGACTCAAGGCAGCCTTTGTGGGGTGAGGGGCCCGTGGCCAGCCGAGGAGAGCAGGGTCTGGGCGCCCCGCGCAGCCTAGCAGGTCTCGAGGGGTCGGATGCCGCGGCTCAGCAGGCAGGGGTCAGGTCCGCGCTGGGCTGTGGGACCTCGGGCCGGTGTCCTAACCCCTCCCAGCCTCACACTTGCGCCCCGTCATTATAGGCACCAGGCAAACTTTAAACTCTTTAAAGTCAATAAGTTTTAATTTAAAGAGAAAAGAGCACAATGGTGGGGCTGCGTAAAACGGGACTAGCGGTGTCTCCCACGGGGCTAAGGGGGCCACCGCTGGGCCTGGAGCAGCCTTGGTCTGCAGGCTGGAGGGGCCTGAGCAGGTGCGGGACGGGGAGAGGCGCACGGCCGCCCTGCCGCCCCCGCGGGTCCTGTGCCCGCCCCTGTCCCGGAGCCAGGGCCAAGGCTGCCGGGCGGCGACCCCACCATCCCGAGACCCGCACACCCCGCGGCCCCCCTTCTGCGAGCCTGCGCCCACCGACCTGCCCCCCCAGGTGTTTCCTGCTGAACGAGATCGAGAAGGAGGAGAAGGAGAAGCTGTGGTATTACTCGCAGCTGCAGGGCCTGTCCAAGCGCCTGGACGAGCTCCCGCACGTGGAGACGGTGAGCGGGGGGCGGGGGACGGGGGGCGGAGGGGGGTGGGGGGCCGGCCCGGCGCACCCTCACCGCGGCCCGTGCCCCCTCCCAGCAGTTCTCGATGCAGATGGACCTGATCCGGCAGCAGCTGGAGTTCGAGGCCCAGCACATCCGCTCGCTGATGGAGGAGCGCTTCGGCACCTCGGACGAGATGGTGCAGCGCGCGCAGGTGAGGCGGTGGGCGGGCCGGGCAGGTGCGCGGGCATTACCCCGCGGGTGCCGTGGGGCCGGGCGGGCTCGGGGCACAGCTAGAGCGAGGGCCCTTCGCAGGAGGGGCTGGAGGGCAGAGGCCGAGACCGGGGCCAGGCCGGGTGGGTTGGGGTTGGACCACGGGTGGGTCCGGGCTGGGGGCAGAGGCGGAAGGCGGCGGGGTTGAGCGCGGGTGGGGCCCGGTGGAGGCGGGCGCGCGGGGGTCGGACGTGGCGGGCGGCCAGCCCGACGTGCACCTTTCTCTGGGCTCAGATCCGAGCTTCGCGCCTGGAGCAGATCGATCAGGAGCTGCTGTCGGCGCAGGACCGGGTGCAGCAGACCGAGCCCCAGGTACTGGGAGGGGTGGCCACGGGGCTTGGCGGTGGGGAGGCCCCCAGGGCCGCGGCCGGGGTGCCGGGGTGGGCCCGCAGCCCCCACCCACATCGTCACGGCGGTGTGGCCGGCATCAGTCCAAGCGCTCAGTGGGGTGCACCCCAGCGGAACCCCCACACCTGGCGCTGTCCGCACAGGCCCTGCTGGCGGTGAAGTCAGTGCCAGTGGACGAGGACCCAGACACTGAGGTCCCCACGCACCCTGAGGATGGTGTCCCTCAGCCGGGCAACAGCAAGGTGAGGGGGCACCCCGGTTTGTGGGGGGCCAGGCAGGTGGGCTGAGAGGTGTGGGGGTGCCGGCGGGGTTGAGGTGCATGGGGAGTGGGTCCTGCGTCTCTGTCGGATGCGGGGCCCCTCTCTCCTCCATCTCCCTAGTGTCCCCAGAAGTGGAAGGGTCGGCAGGGCCAGCATGTGGTCTGGGGCCCTGTAAGGTGGGTGGGGAGAGCTGTGCTGTGTGATGGGGGGACACGCCAGCCTTAGACTAGGAGGTCACCAGCGAGGGACCACAAGGTGGGCATTCGGCCCTCCTGACCTGGGGGCACGTCCCCGGGGGCTGCAGGGTGAAGGGGGCGGGGGTGAGCGGGTGAGCCTCCTGGGCTGGGGCCACCAGCCTCGCTGTGCTTGGGTGCCCCCCACCCCGGGGTCCGGGGCTGCCCCTGGCCCACCCCGAGAGCCGGGCGGGGTTCCCCACCTTCGCTCCATGCCCCGCCCCGCAGGTGGAGGTGGTCTTCTGGCTGCTGTCCATGCTGGCGACGCGGGACCAGGAGGACACGGCGCGCACCCTGCTGGCGATGTCCAGCTCCCCGGAGAGCTGCGTGGCTATGCGCCGCTCGGGGTGCCTGCCGCTGCTGCTGCAGATCCTGCACGGCGCCGAGGCTGGCGCGGGGGGTCGCAACGGAGCCCCCGGGGCGCCAGGGGCCAAGGACGCGCGCATGCGGGCCAACGCGGCGCTGCACAACATCGTCTTCTCGCAGCCGGACCAGGGCCTGGCGCGCAAGGAGATGCGCGTCCTGCACGTGCTGGAGCAGATCCGCGCCTACTGTGAGACCTGCTGGGACTGGCTGCAGGCCCGGGACGCCGCGGACGGGGGCGCGGGCGGCGGTGAGCGGGGGCGCGCCGGGCCTTCTGGGGACCGTCCCGGCGGGCTGCAGTGTTGGGGCGCCTGGCTTTTGCGGCCAGTGGCAAAGTTAACACGACAAAAGCGCGGCCCAGGGTACTGAGCCGCAGGTGCTGCCTCCCCTCCCTTCTCCCTTTGCGGCGGGCGCAGCAGCCCTGCTCTGGGGCCCGGCAGGCGTGGGTGGGGAAGGGCGGGGGGCCCCACTGCCCCCGGAGCCGCAGGGCCCTGACCTGCGCCCTGGCCCACAGCCCCCGTCCCCATCGAGCCTCAGATCTGCCAGGCCACCTGCGCCGTGATGAAGCTGTCCTTCGACGAGGAGTACCGCCGTGCCATGAACGAGCTGGGTGAGTGCCCGCGCCGCCCCGAGGGCTGGCCTCTCCTGCCCGCCGGCTCTTAGCCACCGGGCTGCCGGGGCGCAGACGCCGGGACGAGGCTTTGCCCGGGAAGCCGAGAGCAAAGGTGAAAGATCCACTTTAATTCTTGGAACCGGAGCCACCGGGGTAGTGCGGCGGTGGGGGCTCCACCGTGTGAAATCTGGGGTTGGGGGCACTGCAGGCACTATACCCTCTTCCGGAGGGAAGTGACCCGACGGAGAAAGGCAGCAGCAGAGGTCAAGGCTCACTATGCTCAGCTTCACTGTGGTGATGACGGGACGAGGGCTCTGCTCTCCCGGCAGGTGGTCAGGGCAGCGGAGGGCAGGTGGGCCCGCACCCCGGGGAGAGCACCCCGCTGCAGCGCTTCCGGAGGGCACTTCGGGTGTGCACACTGTTGAACGCCCCCCGCCCTCGCCCCCAGCTAGGAATCTGCCCTCTGGCTGGGTTTACAAAGGAAGACACAGAAAACAAGGAAGCAAGCAATGCAGATAAGACCCCACACCTGGACCCGCGGGTGCGGTAGTAAGGCGGCGGGCACAGGCGGCGGCATATTATCCGCCCTTTTAAGTCCTGTCGTCGGGCGCGGGGGTAGGAGGTCCGTCTGCTCCCTGCACGCCGCGCCCCAGAAGACAGTCCAGACACGGAGCGTCGCGTGCCCCGGGCCGCACGTCCCCAGGCAGGAAGGAGGACCTCGGTGTGCACGGAGCTTGAACATTTGTGGCAGGAACAGATACGACTTCGTATGACGCTGGTTCTCAAAGTGGGGCCCCGGGGCCCCCGAGAGTCCTGAGACCCTCCTCCGAGGTCCCCACAGCCCCAACTGTTTTGATAAGGACACGAGATGTCATGTGCCTTTCCCACCCCCTCTTCTCCGGGCCGTGGGCTCCGCGGGCTCTCCCAGACACTCCGACCCGGGGGGCCGCTGGGCTGCACGATCTGGGGTCAAGGGCTTCTTCCTGCGCATGCCCAGCGGGGTGCCTACGGACGGCCGTCACCCACAGGAACAGAATCTCTCTGGGGTCCTCAGAAACGTGCGGAGCATACGGCAGCCTCGCGGGGGTCCCTTAGCCCAGCGAGAGCCCCGCAGCCGAGTTCACAGCACGGCCCCCGCCCTTGTCTGGGTCCTTCCTGTGGGTCTCCAGCAGCGGGGCTTCCACGGTCGGGAGCATTAAAGACCTTGGAGACGTCCCCCAAAATAACTTAAACTTTTACATTAAGGATTTTTCGGGGCGCTTGGCGGGCAGCTGGCCGGCTCAGTCACTAGAGTGTGTGACCCTTGATCTGAAGGTCGTGCGTTCAAGCCTCACACTGGGTGTGGAGCCTCCTTTTAAAAAAAAATTGAATTGTGGTAGAATAAAGTGAAAGATTTGGCGTCTTGACCCTCTCTAGGCGCACAGCTCGGGGCACGGAGCACCCTCACCCCGCCGCGCACCCACCCCCCCCATCTCCAGAACCTTCCATCCCCCCACACGGAGCCCCCGCCCCCCACCCCGCCCCCGGCTCCCACCACCTCCTCTCTGTCCCTGTGGACGGGCCTCCTCTGGGGACCTCCTGGGAGTGGGGTCCTGCGGGAGGTGACCTTCTGGGTCTGGGTCCCCTCCCTGAGCCCCGTGTCCTCGGGGTCCGTCCGTGTGGGGCAGGTGTCCGGGCTTCCCACCTTTCTGTGGCTGAGGAATGTTGCACGTGGACGGACACATTGTGGCAGGTTTACTTTGGAAGCTTCCAGGCCGCGTGCTGCTAACCTCTTCCCCAGAGGGTGCTGGACCTCAGCCCTGCCGCGGGGACGCTGGAACGGGCTCCGTCATCTTTGCTCCGGGAAGACGGAGGCAGGGCTTCTCGTGCTCCGTTGCCACTTCTTCCCCTTCCCTTCCCTTCCCTTCCCGCCGCCCACCTCCCCCGATTCCTTTCCCGTAGCTGCGGGGCATGAGCCAGCCCGACCCTGCCTGGGGGCCGTGGTCTCAGGGCCTGCAGGGGACCCTTGTGTGGGACTCGGGAGGCTTCCCTGACCAAGCGACTAGAGCTGGGAGGAGCCCAGCACCTGGGCAAGTAGCAGGGGGAGCGTTCCAGGCAGGGGGAACAGCCCCCCCCATGTGTCCCCGCAGGTGGGCTGCAGGCCGTGGCCGAGCTGCTGCAGGTGGATTACGAGATGCACAAGATGACGCGGGACCCGCTCAACCTCGCCCTGCGCCGATACGCCGGCATGACCCTCACCAACCTCACCTTCGGCGACGTGGCCAACAAGGTGCGTGGGGCAGGCAGGTCGCGCTCCCCGGGTCTGAGCCTCCCTCCACCTCCGCCTGCACCTCCTGCACCTCCGCCGGCCTTGAAGCAGCGCTGAGGTGGAGACAGTTGTCCGGACTCGTGGGCGGGTAGACTGAGGCCCAGGAGGGCTGGTGGCGCCCAGGGGGCTGCCGTCTGTCTGGATGCCGTCAGCCAGCCCACCACCCGTTGGCTGCCCTGGGGCCCACCCTGCAGAGAAGGGGCCTCTGGGCCGGGGGGTGGGTGTCCGTGCTGGTCTGGGCCTCGGTTTCCCCACCCCGTAGCACGCGGCAGGGAGGGCGCGCCGGGCTCAAGCCCTGGCAGGGTAGGCGCTCAGTTAGCAAAGTGGGGACCCTGGGGTGCAGGTGGCCTCCCTCACGGCTCCGCCCCACCCCGCCCGGCGTGACGCTCCGCTGTGACACCAACAGGCCACCCTGTGTGCCCGCCGGGGCTGCATGGAGGCCATCGTGGCCCAGCTGGCTTCCGAGAGCGAGGAGCTGCACCAGGTACCGAGTGGGTGGGCCCGGCACGGGGAGAGCGGCGGGGAGCCCCGCTGCCTGAGCCTCCCTGCCCACGACGGCCCCCTCCCCTGGCTGCGGCGGGCCTCCCGGGCGGGCGTCCCCTCCAGCGTCTCCGCCGCCCGGCCTGGGGCAGGACTTGAGGAGGGGGTGCGGGCCCCAGGCCCACCGCGCCCCTTGTGCGCCCCGCCCAGGTGGTGTCCAGCATCCTGCGCAACCTGTCCTGGCGGGCGGACATCAACAGCAAGAAGGTGCTGAGGGAGGTCGGGAGCATGACCGCCCTGATGCAGTGCGTCCTGCGAGCCTCCAAGGTGGGCGCCGGCTGGGGACGGGGACGGGGGACGGGGATGGGGGGGCACTCAGCCCAGGCCCGGGAAGAGGCAGCGGCCGGGCCGCCCAGTGCTGGCTGCGGGGCAGGGAGGTGCGGCAGGGGCGCGTGGCCCATCTCGGGGGTCAAGCCTGGCGGCGCGCTGCACACAGGTGCCCGCACCCGGGACTCCAGCCCTGCGCCCCTAAGGCCCCGCGACGGCCGCCGGCTTACGTTTTACTTTCACCGGAAAACGTCTTGGGTGCCTGTCCCCACCCGCTCCTTGTCCACACCTGGGCGGGGCCGGCCGCCCTCCCCCACCCGGTGACCCCTCCCGCCCTCTGTGCCCAGGAGTCCACCCTGAAGAGTGTGCTCAGCGCCCTGTGGAACCTGTCAGCACACAGCACGGAGAACAAGGCAGCCATCTGCCAGGTGGATGGCGCGCTGGGCTTCCTGGTGAGCACGCTGACCTACAAGTGCCAGAGCAACTCCCTGGCCATCATCGAGAGCGGCGGCGGCATCCTGCGCAACGTGTCCAGCCTCATCGCCACGCGGGAGGACTACAGGTCGGCCCCTCCCGCCCCACGGCCACGAAGCGCGGGGGGGGGGGGGGGGGCGGGGCGGGGGCACCCCTGGGGGAAGGTGGACGCCCGGGCGCAGTTTGGGGCTGTGGATGGCAGGGCCCACTCGGCTGTGGACCCAGGACAAGCCTTGGTGTGTGCTGCGATTGGATGCTCCCGATTGGTCCCGAAGGACTAAATTATTTTAGTGTGAGTATATCCCAAATTTTGTGTGGGGCTATACTTACACTAAATCAGAAACTAAGTTATTAAAATAAAAATATGTATTGGTATTTCTAAATACCATTCATAATACTCTTTTATTAAACTTTTTACTAAATGGTATTAAAAAGTACTCATTCTTTACCAAAATCAAGTACTACTTATTAGATAATAGTAATGCTTTTGATGTAGGAAAATACATTAACGTTTATTTTTAATGTAAGTATATTTCAAATATTGCATGGGCTATAGTTGTGCTAAAGATTTCTTTTTTTTATTTTTTTAAATATTTTACTTATTTATTCATGAGAGACACAGAGAGAGAGAGAGGCAGAGACCCAGGCAGAGGGAGAAGCAGGCTCCACGCAGGGATCCCAAGTCCCCAGGATCAGGCCCTGGTCTGAAGGTGGCGCTAAACCACTGGGCCACCCAGGCTGCCCACCTTAGCACCTTCTTTGTGTTTGCTAAGTCTGGCCCGGTCCCTGCAGGCACGGAGGGGCGGTGCCCTGGCATGGCCTGACACCCCTCTCCCCCCACCCCTGCACCCGCAGACAGGTGCTCCGGGACCATAACTGCCTACAGACGCTGCTCCAGCACCTGACGTCCCACAGCCTGACCATCGTGAGCAACGCCTGCGGCACGCTCTGGAACCTGTCCGCCCGCAGCCCACGCGACCAGGAGCTGCTGTGGGACCTGGGGGCCGTGGGCATGCTGCGCAACCTGGTGCACTCCAAGCACAAGATGATCGCCATGGGCAGCGCCGCCGCGCTGCGCAACCTGCTGGCCCACCGGCCTGCCAAGTACCAGACCACCACCACGGCCGTGTCCCCCGGCGCCTGCGCTCCCAGCCTGTACGTGAGGAAGCAGCGGGCGCTGGAGGCCGAGCTGGACACGCGGCGCCTGGCGCAGGCGCTCGACCACCTGGAGAAGCAGGGCCTGCCCGAGGCCGAGGCCGACGCTGAGGCCGCCTCCAAGAAGCCCCTGCCGCCCCTGCGGCACCTGGATGGGCTGGCCCGGGACTACGCCTCAGACTCGGGCTGCTTCGACGACGACGAGGCGCCCTCCCTGGCCGCTGCTGCCGCCACCGCGGAGCCTGCCAGCCCCGCCGTGCTGTCCCTCTTCCTGGGGAGCCCCTTCCTGCAGGGGCAGGCGCTGGCCCGCGCCCCTCCGGCCCGCCGTGGTGGCCCGGAGGCAGAGAAGGAGGCCGGCGGGGAGGTGGCCGTGGCGGCCAGGGCCAAGGCCAAGCTGGCGCTGGCGGTGGCACGGATCGACCGGCTGGTGGAGGACATCTCAGCCCTGCACACCTCGTCTGATGACAGCTTCAGCCTCAGCTCCGGGGACCCCGGGCAGGAGGCGCCGCGCGAGGGCCGTGCCCAGTCCTGCTCCCCTTGCCGGCGACCCGAGGGCAGGCGGCAGGAGGCCGGCGGCCGTGCCCACCCGCTGCTGCGGCTCAAGGCCGCCCAGGCCAGCCTCTCCAACGACAGTCTTAACAGCGGCAGCACCGGTGATGGACGCTGTCCCCGTGAGCACACCCGGCCCTGCCCGCTGGCCGTGCTGGCGGAGCACCGGGAGGGGTCCCCGTGCAGCCAGGCGCGGCCCAGCCGGCTCGACCTCCATCTGCCAGGCGGCCAGGAGCCAGCATCCCGGGACAGCTCTGCTGCCGACGCCTGTGTGCGCACCATCAAGCTGTCGCCCACTTACCAGCATGTCCCACTCTTCGAGGGCAACCCCAGGGCCGCCATGGGGTCCCTGGCCCCTGGAGCCCGGAAGGAGGCCTGGCTGCCCGCAGAGGGTCTCAGCAAGGTGCCAGAGAAGCTGGCGGCAGAGGCAGTGCCACTCTGCCTGTCCCGCTGCAGCTCCCTGTCCTCGCTGTCCTCAGCCGGCCGCCCAGGCCCTAGCGAGGCCGGGGACCTGGACAGTGACTCCTCCCTGGAGGGGCTAGAGGAGGCGGGACCCAGCAAGGCAGACCTGGACGGGGCCTGGCTCGGGCCTGGGGCCGCCTCCCTGCCCGTGGCCATCCCCATCCCCCAGCGGGGCCGTGGCCTGGGCGTTGAGGACACCACGCCGTCCAGCTCCTCGGAGAACTGCGTGCAGGAAACGCCGCTGGTGCTGAGCCGCTGCAGCTCGGTGAGCTCCCTGAGCAGTTTCGAGAGCCCGTCCATCGCCAGCTCTGTGGCCAGCGACCCGTGCAGTGGGCTGGGCAGCGGCACGGTCAGCCCCAGCGAGCTGCCCGACAGCCCCGGGCAGACCATGCCACCCAGCCGTAGCAAGACGCCGCCGCTGGCACCCGTGCCCCCCGGCGAGCGCGAGAACACCCAGTTCAGCTTGCAGTGGGAGAGCTACGTGAAGCGCTTCCTGGACATCGCGGACCGCCGCGAGCGCTGCCGGCTTCCGTCGGAGCTGGACGCCGGGAGCGTGCGCTTCACGGTGGAGAAGCCGGACGAGAACTTCTCGTGCGCTTCCAGCCTCAGCGCGCTGGCCCTGCACGAGCACTACGTGCAGAAGGACGTGGAACTGCGGCTGCTGCCCCCCGCCTGCCCCGAGCGCGGGGGCAGCAGCGGCGGGGGCGGCGGCCCCGGCCTGCACTTTGCTGGGCACCGGCGGCGAGATGAGGCCGGCGGCTGCCTTGAGGGGCCGGTGGCCGGCGACCAGGAGCTGGAGCTGCTGCGTGAGTGCCTGGGGACGGCGGTGCCTGCCCGGCTCCGCAAGGTGGCCTCGGCGCTGGTGCCCGGCCGCCGCGCGCTGCCCGTGCCCGTCTACATGCTGGTGCCCGCCCCTGCCCGGGTGGACGACTCCGCCGAGGGCACGCCCGTCACTTTCTCCAGTGCCACCTCACTTAGCGACGAGACGCTGCAGGCGCCTCCCCAGGAGCCGGACAGGCATAAGCCCGCCAGCCGGGAGGCCCCCGCCAGGCAGGCCACCGGGCACAGGCACAGGGCGTGGGGCACGGGCCGCAGCCGGGTGGGGCTGGAGCTGCCCCTTCGCCGGCCGGCGAGTGCCTGCACTGAGCGGGACAGCGGCCGCCCCAACCCGGTGCGAGGGACCGAGGGGACCGAGGGGACGGGGCGCTGCAGTCTCTGTGCCTCACGACACCCACCGAGGAGGCCGTGTACTGCTTCTACGACGACTCCGACGAGGATCCACCTGTGGCCGTGGCACCCCCGCGGCGACCGTCCGCCATCCCCCGGGCTGTGAAGAGAGAGCCCCCGGCCGGCAGGAAGGGGGTGCAGGCCGCGCCCCAGCCCGCGGAGGCCCCCCGCGTGCAGCCCAGCCTCATCGCCGACGAGACCCCGCCCTGCTACTCCCTGAGCTCCTCCGCCAGTTCCCTCAGCGAGCCGGACCCCCCTGCACACCCGCCCGCCCGGGCCCGAGCTCCCAAGGCCTCTGTCACCAAGGCCCCCGGTGCTGCGGGCGCAAGCGACAGCCTCCGGAGCCCGCGGGCTGAGTCGGGGCCGCTGCGCCGCTGCGTCGGTTCCGCGGTGCCCCGGCGCCGGCTCCAGGCGTCAGCCCCGCGGCGCCGCAAGCCCCAGGCGGCCCAGCCGGACAGGCGGCCGGCGGAGGGGCCCCGGGAGCGGGCGGACGAGGCCGCGGGCTCAGACCACGCCTCCGACCTCGACAGCGTCGAGTGGCGCGCCATCCAGGAGGGCGCCAACTCCATTGTCACGTGGCTGCACCAGGCGGCCGCGGCGGCCACCCCCGAGGCCTCGTCCGGGTCTGACTCCGGCCCGTCCGAGTCGGGGCTGTCGGGGGCCTCCACCCTGCCCAGGAAGGGCCGGCGCCTGCAGGCGGGGGGCCAGGCGGGCCAGGCGGCAAGGCCGGAGAACCGGGACCCTGCGGTGGCGCAGCGCGGCACGAGCGGCCCCGAGAAGCTGCGGGGCGCGCAGAAGCCCGCGTGCAGGGTGCCGGCCGTGCTCCGGGGCCGGACCGTGATCTATGTGCCCAGCGCGGCCCCCCGGGCCCAGCCCAAAGGCGCCCCCGGCACCCGCGCGGCCCTGAGGAAGGTGGGCCCCCCGAGTCCCGCGCAGCCCGCAGCGCCTGCCAACACCCCGAGCCCCGGGCAGCAGCGGTCCCGGAGCCTGCACCGGCCGGGCAAGATCTCGGAGCTGGCGGCGCTGAGCCCTCCGCAGAGGAGCACCACGCCGCCCGCCCGCCTGGCCAAGGCCCCCTCCTCCGGCTCCTCCCCCGCCTCCCCGGCCTCCCAGCCGCCCACAAGGAGGCCGCCCCCGGGCCCCCAGGCCGCAGGACCCCTACCCGGCCCGGGGGCATCCCTGGTGCCCCAGACGCCCACGCGGGCCCTGCTGTCCAAGCAGCACAAGACGCAGAAGTCACCAGTGCGGATCCCCTTCATGCAGAGGCCGGCCCGGCGGGGGCCACCACCGCTGGCCAGGGCAGCCCCGGAGCCGGGCCCCAGGGGCCGGGCGGGAGCCGAGGGAAGCCCCGGCCCGCGGGGGGCCCGTCTGGGCCTGGTGCGTGTGGCGTCCGCGCGCTCCAGCGGCAGCGAGTCCTCGGACCGCTCGGGCTTCCGGCGGCAGCTGACCTTTATCAAGGAGTCGCCGGGCCTGCTGCGCCGCCGCCGGTCCGAACTGTCCACCCCCGAGGCTGCGACCCCCGCCGCCCAGGGCAGCTCCCCCCGGCGCGGTCGCCCTGCACTGCCTGCCGTCTTCCTCTGCTCCTCGCGCTGCGACGAGCTGCGGGCAGCCCCCCGGCAGGTGCCCGTCCCCGAGCCGACCCCCGCGGCCAGGCCCGCTCCCGGCGAGCGGCCCGCCCGGCGCCCCAGCTCCGAGAGCCCGTCCCGCCTGCCCGTGCGCACGCCGGCCGCGCGGCCCGAGACGGTCAAGCGGTACGCCTCCCTGCCGCACATCAGCGTGGCCCGCAGGCCGGACGCCGCCCCCCCAGGGCCTGCGGCCGAGGCCGCCCGCCGCAGCAGCGATGGGGAGGCGCGGCCACTGCCAAGGGTGGCGGCGCCGGGCACCACGTGGCGTCGCATCCGGGACGAGGACGTCCCACACATCCTGAGGAGCACGCTGCCCGCCACCGCCCTGCCACTGATGGGCGCTCCGCCCGAGGAGGGCCCTGGCGGCCCCCCGCAGCGCAAGACCAGCGATGCGGTGGTCCAGACAGAGGACTTCGCTGCCACGAAGACCAACTCCAGCACGTCCCCAAGCCTGGAAAGCAGGGGGCCCCCGCAGGCCCCGGTCAGCGGCCCCACCGCCCTCCTGGGCAGTGATGTGGACGGGCCTGGTCCCACCAAGGCGCCCACTTCTGTTCCCTTCATCCACGAAGGCCTGGGGGTGGCTGCGGGGGGCTTTCCCGCCAGCCGGCACGGCTCCCCCAGCCGCTCGGCCCGTGTGCCCCCCTTCAACTACGTGCCCAGCCCCATGGTGTCAGCCACCACTGACTTGGCCGCAGAGAAAGCCCCGACCGCTACCCCTGCCAGCCTCCTTGAATAGTGGCCGGGGCCGGCCTTCTAGAACATCCTCTCCAGGCCAAGGGCTGGTCTGGCTGCCGGGAGGGGGGGTCCCAGGGTCCATACACCCACCAGAGCTCCTGCCCCCGGAGCCCCACTGCAGCCTGAATTGGCCTCACATCTCATGCACAGACGCTTGCTTCCATGCTGCGGGGGCTCAGGAGGGAGGGCGCTGCCGGCTGCACCTCGGGTCCCAGCCCGGAGCACACGGCGACCCCTACGCAGAGACCATCCTCCCAGCCTGGGCCGCGCCAGCAGTGCTCCAGGGCCGCAGCCTCAGCAGGCCCCTCCCCTCTCAGGAGCGGCGGGGAGGGGACAGCCCGCCCCGGGTGGGGGACAGGGCTGCGGAGGGCGGCCCGGGGAGCGCGCGCGGGCAGCTGGGGGCCTCGCATCTGTCCCGGCCTACGCGGGGACGAGGCCTGTAATTTGGGAGGCCCGGTAATTGCTTAATGATGGCTTTGCGGGTTTGTTTGCCTTGCCAGCCCCAGCTGGGAGCGTGGGGGCGGGGAGCGGCTGAGCCCCACGGCAGCCCCTGCCCCACGCAGCGCAGCGCCGCCCAGCGGGTGCAGAGCGCAAGGAGCGGGCTGTCCCAGCGGCCCGAAGAGCAGGAGGCCGGTGCGCGGACACGGAGCCGCTCTGGTGTAGACAGAGGCCCTGCCAGGGGGACAGGACGGCTGCCTGCTGGGGAGGGCGCCCTGGAGGCGGGTGGGGGCCACGGGAAGGAGGCCCCGGCGCGTCACAGGGAGACCCTCTGGGAGGGCGTGGGGGTGTGGGACCCAGGGCTGTGAGCGTGCCCAGGGGTTGGGGGGAGCGTGTGGGGGGCCCCGAAGGCTACTGCCCCACCTTTCGATTCCATCCTCATTCCAACGCAGGAAGCACTGGGCTCTGCGCCAGGTCAGAGCCGGGCCCTCGGGGGTCGCTGGCCACTGGGTGCTGGTGGTGCTGCCCCGGGGCGGACAGACGGAGGGACGGCGAGCCCCGAGCCTCCCCGCCAGCCTGCTCGGGGACCGCGGGTGTGCGTGGGTCCAGCCTCAGCCCCAAGGGCGCCTCCTGCAGAAAGAGCCAACGACCTCTTTCCTGCAGAGGCTCAGGGAGAAGCTGCTCTGAGCGCGGGGCTGCCGGGACAGCCTCGCAGGGGCGCCTCTCCCAGCCCGGAGCCCACGGAGGAAGGCCCCCGCCCGCGCGCACCGGTGTTTCCTGCGGCTGACCATCCTCGGGGAAGCCCGGCGCCCAGCCGTCCCACACCCCGCCGACCTGCTGCGCCCGCTACATCATGCGCCCCTCGTCACACCCTGTCCCCTGCGACAGGAGCCAGGGCCCGGCCGGAGGGCCCACGGGCAGGAGGCAGGGTGGCTGAGCCAGCATGACCCGGCCGCAGCCCCCCTTGGACACACGGGCTGTCTCGGACACTCCTCAGAAGCCGCCAGAACCCCGTCCCCACTGCAGCCTGAAGGGCTGGGACCGGGGGTCCTCCAGGGCCTTCCTGGGCCTGGGGGCTCCCAGACACCACGCCCCGTCTCCACAGGACAGACCCCCCACGGCCGGCTCGCCCAGCCAGGGCCCAGGGCTTTGAGCACCCGTGCACTGTGAGACCCTGGGCAGTGCTTTTGCCGCTCCGTGCCTCGGTTTCCCCACGTGGGCCGTGGGGAGAACTCCCAGAGCTACCTCCTGGGCGAGCGGAGCGACCACCATGCCCGAGGAAGGACCTGTGCTGCGGGACCCTCCCTCGCTGCCGCCTCCCGCCTGCCTCTGGCCAGCCCCGGGCGTCCTCTCCACCGGCAGAGCCGCAGGGCAGCTCCCCACCGCCCCACTGCGGCCGGCACTCGGAGCCCGCCCCGTCCATGCCCAGCAGCCACTTTTGCCTTTCCCACCCCCCGCCGCGGGGGGCACAGCCACACCTCATCATCCAGCCCGGGCGGGCAGCAGACGCCCCAGGACAAGCTTTCTGGAGGCCGTGGCGAGCGGCGGTTACCGGACAATCAACCTGAGTCGGGAGCAGGAGGCCTAAGGTCTCAGGACCAAAGGACCAACACAGCCACCTGCCGGGGGACCGTGAAAGAGCCAGGTGCCTCTGGAGCGCTCCTGGGGCAAGCCCAAGGGGAACGCCCGGCACCCCAAGCCTGTGACTTTGGGCCCCAGGCCGGACGGAGGCACCACTAGCCGGGTGCGGACCTTGGGGCCACCCACTGGCGCGGCATTACCTCACCCCCGCTGCTCCCACCTGTCACCCGGCCTGAGCCTGGTGGCCTGGGCCCGTCCCCATGCATCTCTGCCCAGTCTCTGCAGCACCACGGGACACGTGTAAATACAGCCCCCCCCCCCCACTGACCACACGGCCGCGGGTGGGAGGAAGCCACAGACCCAGGTGTCTCGCACGCACCTTTAATAAACAAGCTGTCAAATCGCGCCCTGCTGCCCCGGCTCCGTCCCCAGGGCTGAGGGCGGGCCAGGGGCCAGGAGGGACCTCCCCCTGGGGAGCCCGGCTTCCAACTCTGACCCGCTCCCAAAAGTCCCCTGGGGGGGCCCCGGGCCCCAGAGAGGAGACAGTACCCCGCGGTCACGCAGGGCCCAAGTAGGGAGGGGTGAGGTGCCAGCACCACAGGTGAACTAGCGGCAGTGGGGTCAGGGTGTGCCCTGACGGGGCGGCCTCGGCGTCCACTGCCCTCACGGGTGCCAGGCCTGTGTTCTCTGTACACTGTGTCCCCGGAGACCACGTTCTGGTTTCCAGTTTTCGGAGTCTTTCAGGCTAAAGCAGGCTCAGAGAAACACCTCTGGGATGCTTGGGTCATGGTGCCAGGCCCTGGGGACAGCTTCAGAGCCCCTGGGGACCCCTGGAGAGGGGCGGCTCATGGAGGCGCTGTGCAGGGGCAGGTGGGGAGGCGGGGGCGGGGCTTGGGGGTCCCTGGCGAGCAGCCTGGCTTCTGCAATGCCTCTTGCAGTCCCTGCGGCTCTGGTCTTCCCAAAGTTCGTCTTCTGGTGAGAAAAGCCCTTTTCAAGAGCCACTCCTGTTCCACGGCCCCACATGCCCCCACAGGGTGGGGGTCAGCCAGCAAGGGCTCACGTGGGAGACAGGTGAGCTTGTACTCACAGGGCCACAGGTGACAGAGACCCACAGCCCCCAGGTCGGTTCCGCACCCCGTTACCCGGCCCTGGGGGAGCGCCCGGACCTTGGATCAGGGTGCCCAGGGCCGCCGGGGGAGGCTCCCACCGGAGGCCCCGTCTCACATCTGGCCCCTCCGGAACCTCGGGGGCCTGCAGTTCAGGCGGACACGTGCACAGACCGTGGAGTGGGTCCCACCAGCCCAGGGGGCCGGGGCGATGGGGGAAGCAGGGTCGTCAGGGGCAGGGAGAGGCGCATGGACGGCCTGGCTCTGGGGGGCTGGGGAGCCTGTGGACATCCAGTGTGGGCTCCCGGGCCCCGGGGAGAGCAGCATCCACATGGTCCAGACCTGACCCTCGGGGGGGCCAGGCGGGGCTGAGGCTGGTGCACGTGTCCCCCCATGCAGGCTGTGTCCCCCCAGGGTCTCCGGGTGCTTCGGGGCCCTGGGGGCCTGGTCTCCGCTGAGCCGGGTCAGGCGTCCGGGAGCTGGGGGCGCCCTGCCCGGTGTGTGTGCTCAGCCCACAGGCTGACCAGTCAGCCCAAGGAGGCAGCTGCGGCTCCCGGCAGTGCCACCTGCTTCACCTGGCCGACATCCCGCTCCAGCTCCTCCCCAGCTCGCCACAGGTCCTCACACTTCTGCTTCAGCCCGTCGCCCGCCTGCTGCAGCCGCTGATTCATGGCCACGTAGGCCCGGCTCTGCTGGTAGAGCTGCTCCCGCTGGGCCTCCGTGTCCTCTGCCCGCTGGGAGAGGCCCAGGGAGTCTGGGGACAGGACACAGTACACCGGTGAGGCAGGGGCAAGGAGAGGACACCGTGTGTCGCCCCAGCAAAGCAGGGAACTGGAGAAAACGTATCACAGAGAAGCCTCGCCCCTGCGTCCCCAGGCCCCCGTGTGTATCGGCCTCCAACCCGCAGAGGGCAGCGGACGGAGTCACAGGGCCGGCGGGCTCCTACCAGGCTCTCCAGGCCAGATGCCACACTGCACCTCCCTAAACCTGCTCCCTGGCCATGCAACCTTGTGAAACCCAGCAGTCCAGGAGGCGGCACGTTTCTCGGTAACCCCGCGTCCCGTAACAGCACCTGCCGGGATGCAGGCTGCCTGCTTCCCTGCTCTGGGGACAGGCCGGGAAACTAGGACCTGACGAGAAGTCACCCTATCACCTGCGTTGGTACTAAGGAGGGACACAGGCCACTCGATGCTCGGGGCGGCCAGGACATGAGGTCCAGGTAGGAGCTCCCCCTCCGTGGGTCCTCGCACAGCCCCGCCTCAGTCTGCCCTCCCTGGAAACGCTGGTGGGCGTGGTCCTGGGGCTGCTCCGACCAACAGAACCTTCCAGATGCTCTGATACCAGGGGCTCTTGGCGCTCGAAACACAGACACGTTGAGCAAAGCACCAAATTCCTACTATTATTTCATTCTCCCCCCAAAGAACCCCAACGCATTTCTCCCCAGCTCTGGTCCCCCAAGACTAACGGTCACTCCTCCACCAGAGTGACCCCAGGGCGGGCACTTTCGGGGGTAGTGTGTGCCCGGTGCGGGGGCTGAGCAGCAGCCTGCGGGGACAGAACGCGGCCTTCGGGAAGCTTCCAGGACCGGAGAAACGAACATCACGGAGCAGAACACAAAACGCGCTGACAACACCGCCCGCGGCCCCGACTTCCAGGACAAGGGGTGGACGAGGCTTCCCGCGGGGCCGGGCCTGAGCCTCCGGGCCGCCGCCCCCGCCGCGACCCCACCTTCACCCCGCAGCTGCAAGCCAAGAACCCCGTCTGTCCCCTTTAACCCCCACCCCCGGGGCCCGAACCCTCGAAGCGTCGACCCGAGGTCAGGGGCGCCCCGAAGACGGCACTGTCGGCGGCCCGGCGGGCGCCCCCGAGGCGCGCGTGCAGCCAAGCCCGGCTCGGACTAGCGTCGCTCCTAATTCCCGGGCTTCACCGACGCGCCGCTCCCGCCGGGGCCGGGTCCCAGGCCCGCCCCTCCCCCGCTCCTACCGTCCAGGCCCAGCGCGATGAAGACCGGGTCGTCGGGGGGCGCGCCCCGCACGTCCTCCAGGATCTGCTCCACCGCGGGCGGCGCGGGCCGGGTGGGCAGCACCACGCGCTTCTTGGCCTTGGAGCCCATTCCTGGAGGCGGGAGGAAACGGCGCTGACGGGCTCTGCCCCTCCCCCCGGGCCCCGCCTCCCGCCCCGCGAACTCCTACACGGCGCCGGAGCCCCGCCCCCGGGCAAGCCCGCCCCGCCCCCCGGGGCTCGCTCCGCCCCCGGCCCTCCCAAGGACCGACAACGTGGGGCCGGCGGGGGCCGGCGCCGGGCGCCGTCTCTGCCTCAGCTTCCCCGCCGACGCCTCCAGCGCCCCTACCTCCTCACGCCGGCGCGCCTGCAGAACCGCGGGCGCCGCCGAGGAGCCACTTCCGCTTCCGGTTGCGGCGGAGCCCCGCCCCCGGGCACGTGACGCCCACTTCCTGCCTCCCCTGGCTCCTGCCCGCCCCTCGCCGCGGGGCCACGCCCCCTCTTAAAGGGGCCGCGCCCTCAAGGGTCCTCGTCGTGTCGCTGCTGGCTGCGGTGTCCCTGGAAGAGCTCGGGGTGGGCGCGGGGTCCTGTGCCGGCTGCCCTCGCCGCGTCACAAAGCACCCACTCCCGGCGTCCTGCCGAAAGGGGACACAACCCACGTGGTGCCGTGGGGACACGGTGACTGCCCACGCCAGGCGGGCTGGCCGTGCGGGTCAGGGGAGGTGGCCGGGGCGCTGGACGCTCGGCGGCGTCGCCCCTCTGGTCCCCAAAACCTCCTCCCCACGGCTGGGTTGGGGAGGCTGTGAGCGGAGGCACACGCTGGGTGCTCACCGTGAGCCGGGGGGGCGAGCTTGCCCTCCTGATCGCACATTTACCGAAGCAGGTGCTAGATGCAGCGTCCTCGCACGGATGAGGCCACCAAGGCTCGAAGGAGGCGGCCAAGCACTCCCGGGACGCTCGGCTGCAGCAGTGGATTCACTACAGCCAAGGGGTAGAACAGCGCCGACGTGCATCGCTGGAGGAACGGATCAATACTAGTCCCTCCCGGCGGCCTCGGGCAGGAGCTTGCGAGGAGCCAGGCTGCCCTGGGAACCGTCTCCCTGGCCCCGCCCCCACCGCGGCTGGGCTCTGGCATCGGGGCTGGCCGCCCTTCTCTGCGGGCCACTGGGTCCTCCAGGGCCTGATGTCAGGGAGAAGACAGTCCCCAAGCCGGCACGCGGGAACCCCCAACCGTGCCGTGGGGGGGGGGGGCACTGCCCCTGCCCCAAAGGAGACCACAGACTTGGCACCTCCTATTCAACCTTTATTGCAAACTCTGAGGTCGGATGGGGTGCCTGAGACCCTGGGAGGTGTCGTTTGTTGTCCCTGCTCCTCCGGCCCGCTTCTGGGGCTGGGAAGGGATGGCTGTCACCGCCCGACCTCAGCCCACCCCACCCCACCCCCACCCCAAACTGTGTAACGAGACTTTTCTCTCTGTTTCCCCTGGACCTGCCAATTTTGGGTCCAGGATGCCACGCCGGCCACCCCCGGCCCGGGGGCCTCAGTGACCGGCCGGGCCTCCTCGGGGCAGGTTCTCCGATCCCCAGCCCGGTTCCAGTCTGAAGCAAAGGAGTAGGACAGCGGTGCCTGTCCGGGCACTGGTTTCCCTCCTAGTCAGATGTCTCTAGGTTCCAGGCAGCCGCTGGGCCTGGGGGGGTGGCGGGGTGGCCCCAGCACCGGGGAGGCCCCCACGTGGCGGCGGGCAGCCTGTAGAGGATGCAGCACAGTAAGGGGCTCCCGAAGGCCACAGCCAGCAGCGTCAGTACCACGGCCTGGGCGCGGCCACGGTGGCACCTGGGGTGGCCGACTGCGGTGGGCTGGGGGGGGCTGTCGGGAGGCACAGGCCCTGAGCAGGAGCCCCGATGCTCACGCAGCGAGTACGACGGGGGACAGGCGGTGCAGTTGAGCTGCGAGCCGCCGCGGCAGGGGCAGCAGGAGGCGCGGCAGCTGGAGCAGACGCGCAGCGCGGGTGTGGCCGGGCGCCCAGGCCCGCCGGTCACCGCCTGCTGGGTGTGCTTGCAGTACCTCGGAGGGCAGTAGGAAAGGCAGAGGTGGCCCAGGGTGTAGGCGGAGCTGTGGCATTCTGCGCGGGGGACATGCCCGGGGGGTGAGAGGCCGAGGCCCTCACGGCGTGCGTCTGCCCTCCCGCCCCGGGCCGCACACGCACACTGCCCGCCGCTGCCGCCTCCCAGCAAGCAGGCCGTGCCACGCCAGGCACTCACCCTGGCACAGCCCCTCTGTGTCCCGCTGCACACACGCGCTGCTGGTCACCTGGGGGCCCGGGGGCCGCGCCGTCATGTCCTCGGCCGTCCCGTAGAGCAGCAGCGTGTAGCGGTACAGCGTCCCTGGCAGGGGTTGTGGTGGGCACGGGGAGGAGGGGGAGAGGCTGTTGGCCGCCTGGTCCTGCCCTCCCGGGCCCCTCTCCCCGGCCACCCCGCCCGGAGCTGGACTCCCAGACCCTGACGCCACCGGGCTGAGCCCCCGCTGTGCAGGGGTAACTGAACGCCTACTGTGTGCTGGTAACCAGGTGCCCAGTATGCACCGAACACACGCGCTGGGTCTGTCGGGGGACTGCTGGGCGTCCCTCTACGAGGGGTCCCCGGGGGCCCCAGCCTGCACGCAGCCCTCACCCGTGTTGAAATAGTAGCCTTTGTTTTCCAGGCCCAGGGTCCACAGGCCCCGCGGGTCCTCGTCCCAGAAGTGGGTGGACATGAAGATCCAGTTGTTGTAGCCTTGGCCGCTGACGTCCAGGGGTCTGGGATGGGAGGTGGAGGTGGGGGTGGGGGTGGAGGCGGGGCCGCTAGCTGGGGGGGGACCCCGGACCCCGGTGTGCGCCTCCAGCCCTGTACCTGATGGCCACGAGCGTGGAGCGGGTGCCCATGGGGCTGGTGAGCGAGATCTCCAGGTCCCCCCGGCGGCTGTAGGACAGAGACAGCTGCACCTGCACGTGCTCCAGGGAGCGGATGTAGTTGGCGCTGCCCGCGCAGGCCGACACGTTCTTCCTCACTTGCGTCAGCGGCAGGATGGGGCTAGGGGCGGCGTGGGGGGTGAGGGCCCCTCCTGTGGGCCTGCTGGGGGATGGGCGGCCAGCAGGTGGGGTCTGGGCTTACCTCTCCGTTACAGGTGGGTCAACAGGCCTTGGGGCCAGCCTCCCACATGTACGTCACCCCCCCCATGGTAATGACAGGTGTGGGGAGGTGGCAGGTGAGCACAGTGGGGGCCGGCTGAGGAGGGCGCTCACGTGGGGGTGTGGACGATCCGAACGACGCATTTCTGCTGGGGTTGTGTGGGCAGCCACGTTCGAGCCATGTCCACCAGCAGCCTGGCGTCCAGCAGCCCATAGCCATAGTGGTGGCTCACTGTGTGGAGGGGTGGTCATCAGTCGCCCCGCGGCCGTGGCACCCCCCTCCCTCTGGCCCTGCCTCACCTTGGCGCCCCACACCGTTGGTCCTCCAGTCCTCGGCCTGGAGCTGTGCTGGCCTCGACGCACGGACCACCAGGTGCTGCATGTCCCTCCACGTCAAGAATGGGCTGAAGGCAGGCGAGGGCAGGTGAGCTGGGGCCACGCTGGGGGGTGAGTGCAGTAAGCGGGGTCCCCTCCGTCACCTACTTGGCCTCCAGAGCCAGGGCAATCATGCCCGCAGCCAGCGGGGCTGAGGCCGAGGTTCCCGTGTGCTTGTCCGTGCACTGGTGGTGCAGATCTGTGGTGACCTAGGGGCAGACAGGGGGACTTGGGGGGCCTGGCACACATGCAAACCCACACTTTGTTCAAGAAGGTACCGCAGAGATACCACCAGGGACGGGGCCCTGAGTGCCGCCCAGGTCGCACACCTGGGGAGCTGACCCTGCCTGGAAGACAGGAGGGTGTGTGAAGGGGTGACAGCTGTGGGGCCTGGACTTGGGGCCCATCGTGTTCCAGGTGTCACAGGGCAGCCCCTAGGAGGGGGCACAGTCGGGGGAGGGGACAAAAGAAGGGGAGGGGTGGGAGTGAATCAGGGCAAGGGGATGGGAGAGAAGGGGCAGGTGGGAAAGTGGGGACAAACAGGCCGGAGGGAGCAGAGAACAGGAGGGAATGGGGCAGGGGCCAGGACAGCAGCGGCAGGGGCCGGGGGCAGAGGGCGGGGGCAGGGGCAGCGGGCACTCACGATCTGCGGGTCAGTGGCCACGCCGCTGCTGTAGGTGGTGGTGAGCGTGGAGGCGCAGGCCTCGCTGTACCAGGGCACGCGGCCGTGCTGGGTGGTGCTGCCCACCGAGAGCGTGTGGATGCTGTTGGTGTAGCCGTCACAGTTGCAGTTGTCATAGTGCAGGCCGCCGTTGCCCGACGCCCAGACGAAGAGCGTGCCCAGCCCACCGCGGCCCTGCACACAGGGACGGGTGGGGGAACCGGGATGGGGGCGTCGGCCTTGAGAGCAGGCCCAGGCCCACCGCGGCCCCGGGTGTGCTCACCTTGGTCACGCCGCGCCTGAAGGCCTCCCGGGTGAGGATGCCCGGGCCGTCCACCGTGCGGCCGTCGTCCTCGGGGCCCCAGCTGGCGCTGTAGATGTGGATGTGCTGCGGCTGCAGGCTCAGCGACTGGGCCTCGATGACGTCTGTGATGGTGCCGTCCAGCATGCGCACCCCTGCCCAGAGGGGGGTGGGCGTCAGGCCTCGGCAGACGCCCCGCCGCACCCCCCCCCGGGCAGGTCTGACCAAGGGGCCCCCTCTGCCCCCCACAGGAGGGCATTCGTGCTGGGCCCTGTGGCCCCCAGAGGTGCCTTCTCGGGTCTGTCCGCTAACTGTACCCGGCACTGCCAGTCACCCAGTGTCGGGGACAGGAGGAGCTGGACCCCACGTACCTCCAATTCGGGCGTTGTAGGCAACACCGGTGCCGCAGAACCCATTGTTTGCCATCGCTGCCACTTCCCCAGCGCAGCGGGTCCCGTGCCTGGCGCCAAGGGGAGAGGGGAGCCAGCTGCAGTGCCCCCCACGGCCCCCGCAGGGCACCAGGGGCTCCCCTTACACCCTGCGGGATGCCAGGCTCACCGGTTCTCGTCACTGGGCGTGTAGCGCGGCTGGGGGTCTGGGTCGTAGTCATTGAAGTCGTAGCTGGCCAGGGGGTCCTGGGGCGGAGTGGGGACGTGAGGGGGGGGCCGGGACGTGGGACCTGGGGCAGCCCCCGCCCCGGTGCCCCCGGTCTCACGTAGTTGGCCCAGAGATCCGGGTGGTCCTTTTCGATGCCGTCGTCCAGGACAGAGACCACCACACCCTGGCCCGACAGCCCCTGACTCCAGACCTGCAGGATGTTCAGGTCCGGCTGCACCTTGTTGTTCTGTGCAAGGTGGGGGTGGGGGTCAGTGGGGCGCTGGCGCAGCCCACCCCCACCCCTGCCCGGGCCGCTCACCATGTACCACT